ACTCTGCACTGTGCTTTGTGACCTCGCCAGACTGGTTTCTCTCCCGCCGCTAGTCGCGTGCCCGCGATATCCTATCAGATTTCCGATAACGGGTTTAAACGGTCCTACAACACGTGGACCGGAGATTGTCGTGGTCCTGCAGCGCAGGACCACCACACCGTGAACTGGCACTTTTATTATTACCGTCGACTATCAGACTCCCTTCGGGGAGGCTTGTTATTTCGTCCTTCCACCCATTCTCTATGTTCCTCGCTCAGACCCTCGACCAAAGCGCCTCCTCGGGAGACTTCAGGCTCGACCCCAAATATGAACCATGATGGTACCTAGGGCTTTTCTTTTCTCTTCAGCGCCCTTCAAAAAGCCAGCGCACAGGAATGAAAAGGAGAAACTGGAGCCGCAAGCCTCCTGCCATCCTAGAAACCGCCGCCAGTCACCGCCTCGTCGGGATGTGCCGCCTGTCAGGCCTGCCAGCATGGCCGCTGGGGATCCTTCGGTGATCGCCCATACTGACCCCGTCGTGATCCCGCCAAAACGGTCCCAACGACGCACACCAGTCAATCATTTGGACACGAGGAACAGCGGTCGAGATACTCGGAGGGATATGCGCCGGTCGTCGTCCGCCAACACTCTCCCTCGTAACGTCCCCACCTCCGTTGCAACGCTGCTCGAGGTGACAGCGATCCCTCCCCGCAGAAGCTGGACGGTCCGGAGTTCTCGTAAGCTGCCGCCCGGGAACCATGTGGAAGATTTTAGCCGCCTTCTGATGGAGGGCATCAAGCCCCGAGACGAACGCGGCGCTTCCTTGGACGGTTCCGGGAACTCTCCCTTGGATTTCCTCCTCAGTCCTTTGGACGATGAGAAGTCCATGCTGGCAAGCGAGCTGGAGTCGGATCTCTCCGTGCGCTCCACGTCACCCGATTCGGTGCCGTCATTGGATCATGAACTAAGCTCGGATACTTCTTCCAGTCCGAGGACTCCCCCGAGTCAGAGGCGGCACCTGGATAAGAGGAAGTACCTCTCTTCTCCCCCGGAGGATTGCGCATCGGACCATCCTCTTTTGGAGAATGAGGAGCCTGACTCGTTTCAATCGTTTTTCACGCCATCCGAACCCGCCAGCGTCTCTTCGAAGCCGTCAAGCCCGTCTCGCACCTTTCCTCGATTAGGATCGACGTTCAAGTCGAATCTCACCGCTTCATTGCGAGCCATCAAGTCAGCTGCACAGACGGTGTCGAACTTTGCGACGCCATCGGTTCAACCGGATGATTTTCTCACGCGTTCTCTGTTCTCGATCACCCCCGAATTAACCGATGACCGGCGCCCCCTTCCGATGAGCGAACCCCCTTCACCGGCTCTTCGACGCTATCTCAATCCGATCACCTTGTCGCCTGCCGAGATGCATGTTTATCATGAATCTCCGCAGGGTTCGGACCAGTTCGCTCACAGCTGCCCGGTGTCGATCCAGATGCAAACGTACAACCGATCTGGGTCTTCAACCGGCCGCAGACGGAGCCGTTTCAGCACGGGCAACGCCAGTGGATACGAACAACAGCTGTGCTCGTTCGATCCAGAGATCCCAATGACCCGTCAACGCGAGCCGCGCGAGAACAGTGATTTCCTGCGCGTGGTCGTCCTAGAGATGAATATGCGGCGCAGCGGCAAATTACGCGATGACATCCCGAGCCGGGCCAAGGTCTGGCTGCCTCCACGCAAGCCAGCACGGTTGGTCTCGAGCGCCTACGGTGATGAGGAGGAGACTGCCATTCCCCAACGATGGGTTGGGGTTTCAATCGAGTGCGCTTGAACGACCTGGCCGAGCTCTTTACCGATCTACTTTCCGATCTTCTTCATGATTGTACATATGCATCACTTCAACGTGTCTTTTAATTTGTTTTTTACCCCTTTTCGGCGTCTTTTCAGAATTTGGTTCGGATCTACAATGACATGGCATGAGATAGCGAGGCGTTTGAGGAGGAAATGGGCACGGCAATAGCATCATGGGCATTTCTTTGCATGCTTCGGAGCAAGGGCAGGTCGTTAGTTCATTAGCCATGTATTATTCTCTTGGTTTTCCCGAGTGCTCGACGATAGTGAAATGAATTTTGTATCCAGCGCATTTCATGACTATTTCTCCCGTCCTCACGTCATTAGATATTTACCATTTCTCCAGGGTTATTATCAGACATTTGTGAGAAAAGGTTCAAGCATCACAGTAGGCATTAAGGCCGTGTGTACACTCCAGCCATTGTCCATTCCATTCTATCATATTCCGACGCGTCAGTCAACTTTACGGACTCATTTACTGACCAACGCATTATGGAGAGCGCCACGTGTCTGAGGAGGACTCTGCATAAGTTGCCTTTTCAATTACGACGAATATGATATGACAGTACTCCGGAGTACGCCAGTTGATTAATACTGGCCTGTAGATCAATAGCGCGCACGGTACTCTTTCTGTTCTGGAGGTCCATGCGCATTTGCATGACCATCTCCTCTTCCATCTTTGTTTTTCTTTCCTTTGAAAAAGAATCCTCACCTGTTTCCTCTCCTTCCCGCGAATCCCGCAATGCCATACCTGCTAATCTAGCTAGCTGTACCGTATAGACATGTACTGTACAGTAGGAAGTAGAAAAGATGAGGGGTAAGTGATTGGAACCAGGCCGGCATAGTATGGTATAGCAACATAGCATTGATGATATATGCGTCAATGGTAAGCGATAAAAGCGCGCTGTGCGGGGTTTATTAGTATTATTCTTTTATTCGTGCACTCCAGTCGAGTCGAGTTGAGAGTGAGGCAACAAGAGAATTAGTGCCTCAGGCACTAAATTCAAATGTCGTACAGACTACCGATGACGTCGAGTCACATGTTCTGCGTCTCCTCTGGCGCTGCAGCCTGGACAGACCGCGTCCGGACCGTGTATTAGGTAGAAAATTAATATAAAATTTGGCAATTAAAAAAAAGAACAGGAAGGTTATCGCTTCCGTTCTTTTGATGGTGTGATATCCCCTGGATCACAATATTACAATGAACTGGATCTGACAGCCGATCGCTGGTCGAAAATGGATCCGCATGATGATGAGGAGCAGCTTTCCGATGCTGGCCCCGTGGAGACTGAAAAGGACCTTGATGAGAAGTAAGCCAGCGGTGTAGAAAGAAAAAAGTATTGTCTTACTGGCTGACTTGTTATGTGTGAAGGTATCCAAATCGACCTCATAACCACTCCCCTACATTGCCCTTCCACGAGCTCTTCTTGTCCCTGTTCAACCCGTTAAACGAGAATAAGAAGAAGCCTACCGGTCCTGCTGCTGTTGCGGCTGCAAGGAGGAAAGTCGGCCCAAATGGCACGAGTGCAGCGAATCTCACCCCCCAGGAACGTCGGCGCGATATCATCCAGCGGTTCATCTCGCGATGGAGAAAAGAAGTCGGAGACGATATCTACCCGGCCTTCCGCCTCATCGTCCCGGACAAGGACCGCGATCGGGCCATGTACGGGCTGAAAGAGAAAGTTATTGGCAAGCTACTCGTCAAAATCATGAAGATCGACAAGCACTCGGAGGATGGATTTAGTCTGCTGAACTGGAAACTGCCCGGCCAGAGCGCAGCCAGCCGGATGGCGGGCGACTTTGCCGGACGATGCTACGAAGTCATCTCCAAACGGCCGATGAGGACTGAGGTCGGCGATATGCTCATCGAGGAAGTCAACGAGAAGCTGGACCAGCTCTCTGCGGCCTCCAAGGAAGAGCAGCAGCTCCCCATTCTGGCGGAGTTCTACCGGCGGATGAACCCGGAGGAGCTGATGTGGCTCATCAGGATCATCCTCCGACAGATGAAGATCGGTGTTTCGGAGCGGACGTTTTTCGATGTGTGGCATCCGGACGCGGAGAGGCTGTTCAGCATCTCCAGCAGCCTTCGTCGCGTGTGCTGGGAGCTCCACGATCCGAATATCCGGTTGGAGGCCGATGAACGGGGCGTTTCGCTTATGCAGTGCTTTCAGCCTCAACTGGCCCAGTTCCAGATGCATTCTTTCGAACGGATGGTGGAGCGAATGAGGCCCACGGAGGATGATCCCGTTTTCTGGATCGAAGAGAAGCTCGATGGCGAGCGCATGCAGCTTCACATGGTATCAGATGACTCGATAGAAGGTGGGAAGAGGTTTGGGTTCTGGTCACGGAAAGCCAAGGATTATACGTATCTTTACGGCAATGGGCTGAACGACCCCAACGGTGCTCTCACGCGCCATCTGAAAGACGCGTTTGCTGAGGGTGTGGACAACATCATTCTGGATGGCGAGATGATCACCTGGGACCCCGAGCAAGATGCTCCGGTCCCCTTTGGGACCCTCAAAACCGCCGCACTGTCAGAACAACGTGACCCGTTTTCTAAAGGCCCGCGGCCACTGTTTCGAGTCTTCGATATTTTGTATCTTAATGATCGGGACCTGACCAGGTATACACTCCGTGACCGGCGAAATGCGTTGGAGAAGAGCATCAAACCGGTTCATCGAAGATTTGAGATACACCCATACCAAGAGGCCACCAAAGCTTCCGACATCGAGCCGATCCTTAGGAAGGTTGTTGCAGAAGCATCAGAAGGACTGGTCCTGAAGAATCCAAGGTCGCCTTACCGTCTGAATGAACGGCACGATGACTGGATGAAGGTCAAGCCGGAATACATGTCTGAGTTTGGCGAATCGCTGGACGTCATCGTGATTGGGGGTTATTATGGTTCTGGACGTCGCGGTGGCAATCTCTCCAGCTTCCTATGCGGACTCCGGGTCGACCAGGCTCAGGTCCAGAAAGGAGCAAATCCGATGAAATGCTATTCCTTCTGCAAGGTTGGAGGCGGCTTCACCGCGGCCGATTATGCAAATATCCGTCACCACACGGACGGGAAATGGAAGCCGTGGGACCCCAATAAACCTCCCACTGAGTACATTGAATTGGCAGGGGGAGACGCCCAGTATGAGCGGCCTGATATGTGGATCAAGCCGGATGACTCGGTAGTCCTCTGTGTCAAGGCCGCTTCTGTCTCCGTCAGCGACCAGTTTCGGCTTGGTTTGACGCTACGATTCCCTCGATTCAAGAGGCTGCGCATGGACAAGGACTGGAAAACAGCATTGTCAGTGCAAGAGTTTCTGGATCTCAAATCGAACGTGGAGCAGGAGCAGAAAGAAAAGCAGTTTACTGTCGACAATTCCCGCAAGAAACGGATAAAGAGAACCACCAAGAAGCCTCTCACCGTCGCTGGTTACGACGCTGATGCACAAGTTCAATATCAGGGCCCTTCGGGACACATTTTCGACGGGTTGAATTTCTGTATGCACGATTCCATTCACCTTTCAGTCCAGGCTAGGACGTTTGCTGATCATTGAATGTCGTAGTTATCATGACGGAATCCAGTGCACCGGTAAAGAAATCCAAGCTCGAGTTGGAGCAACTGGTCAAATCGAACGGGGGAAAGATTTACCAGACGAACACGGCTGCTCCGGACACCGTGTGTATCGCTGACCGAAGTACGTTACACCTGACGATAAATCAGTTGGGAGGGATGGTAGAGCTAAATCTTGCCTCAATGAACAGGAACGGTCAAGGTAGCATCCTTGCAGAAAAGCGCCAAAGAGAACATCATCCGGCCGCTGTGGCTTTTCGACTGCATCAAGCAGAATGAGGCTGATGCAGGGTTGCCAAACTTTCTCCTTCCATTGGAACCACGGTATGTGACGAAAGTACACCCTTGAGAACCTGCTGACTGACACTGAGACTTCTGCAGACACATGTTCTTTACCAAGGAGGATCAGCGAGATGAGATCGAAGGGAACGTGGACAAGTTCCATGATAGTTACGCGAGGGACACCACTGTGGAGGAGCTCAAGGTGGTGAGTGCTGTCTCTCTCCCCCTCCCTCTCTGTTTCTTACTAACAACAAACAATCGGACAAGCTCCTCGATAACATGAAGGTACCCGGCAAGATGAACCACGCCCAAGTCTCCCAGATCACAGAACGACTGTTTGCGCGGGCTCAACAAGAAGGGCAAGACCGCGGACAAGGGATATCTCCAGGCTGGCTCTTCAAGGGTCTCACGATCTACTTCCACCACGACCCGTCGTCGGCCACCAATTCGCACCGCCTCCGTCTAGCATCCAATCTGGCTCGATTTGGCGGGGCCAGCATTGCCAGCACGTACGACACGTCGAACAAGAACAAAGACAAAGGCGTAACCCACGTCATCATCGATCCCTTATCGACAGAGGCTCCCGAGCAACAACTCTCCTCCCTCAGGAAAACTTTATCGTCTCACGCTGCTTCGGGCATGCGAATCCCCCATCTGGTCACTGTGGAATGGATCGAAGAGTGCTGGAAGGAGCGGACGTTGTTGGATGAAGAGAGTATGTCCTCTCCCTGTTACCTTCAAAACCGAAGATGACAGTCAGGGTTTGTGAAATATTGAAAAGTGAGAGAAGAAACTGACGTGTTACGTTTACTTTCTGTCTAGGATTCCAACCGCCGCGGTGAGATGAGACGAGATAACGACCTATGATACAATGATGGAGTTCCTATGTTGTGCTTAATTAATTGCATTTACATGTATGTACTGTATGTATTGTACATTACCTTGGATAGATAGATAGCTAGCTAGGTAGTTTAGGAAACATCCAAAGCTATGCTAGCTATGTTCTACGCTGTACTTGTGTACTTGTATGTACTGTACAATACTACTACCATGGTGAGATGAGTAATGACCAGGAAGAAAAAAATAGAAAGCGAAGAGATAATAAGTATGTACTGTATACACATGGAGAGAAACTGCATCTGCAGACTTCCAAGTTCTTATTGACATTTTTTCCACCTTATCTCGGTAGGAATGAGCGTCAATATAATACAGACATATATATATATATATTCATGCTATTTACGGTACGCTTCACGACTCCATCAATCGGACGCAGCAGATGCTGATACAGATGCTGATGACGCAGGAGACGAGACCTGCTCGCCCAAGCGGGTTAGAATGCCGATGTACTCATGCGCGATCCCCCAAGACGACATCAGCCCCGACAGCGTGCGGATGCCTTCCTTCAGGATCCTCGCCGGCCCTGATGGTCCGCAGATGTCGCCTACCCCGGTCACGTTGCCCCGCATCGTGTGGCCCTCGCGCACGAAAAGCTGCACGAGCTCGTCGTCGCAGGGCCGGTCGAGATGGATGAATGTTGGACCGGGGGCTGGCTCGGATACGTCAGGCTGAGGTCGCAGCTCATCCGAGTCTTCAACATTGTTGCTGTTGTTGCTGTTGCTGCTATTGTTGTTCTGGCCGGAGGCTGCTGCTGTTGCTTTGTGGTGGCATGATCCATATGCCCAGAGGGTGAGGGTGGCTAGGAAGACGGCCACAGGCTCATGGAAGGCATTCGTGGAATAGCGACGGACGTACCACAAGACGGAACCGGCGTGGATCAGTGCCAGCCGGGCTTTATACTGGTCATGCTTGACCCAGCGCCAGATGTGGTGCCACTCGATGGCTTGCTCGTGCTCACTCCAATGTAGGGTCCCTCTTGCTAAAGAAGTCGCCAGTGCTCGGATCTCCCGGAACGGGACCAGGAGGACAATCCGCGCAGCGTGTAGATGAAGGACGGTAGGGTGCTCCAATCCGGCCGCTTTGGCAATCGTGCCGTTGGCTGTCCAATGGAGGATGTCCAAGCAGTCACAGGCGCTGTTTCGCCATTTCGAGTACACGGGTATCCCAGGAAGCCAAACAGACCCAGACGGGATCGCGGAGTCTCGGGATTGCTTCTTAGCCGTAGGATTCCAACAAGACAGCGGTCGCCGGAAGTAATCGCTCACTTCCCACATTCTCTGGTAGAGAGCATGGACAAGCAGGACATGACTGAATTCCCCGATCCCAGGGACTAGTCTCTTTTCGATGTATAGAATCTGCGTTGCGGAGTAGAGCGATTCATTTTCTTGAGTTTTATTAGCAGTGTGCAGTCCTGTACTCGGAAGTGATTGCTTACCACCTGAAGACCGTTCGTGCAGTTGCCGCCAGCTTTCCTCAGACTTTGCCTGCCACGGATCCTCATGCGACGGTAATGGGGCTTGTGCATCGTCGAGCGATAAGTGCGGTCGGGTATCAAAAGCATACGCCAATGTGCAATCAAGGAGCTGCAGGAATCCATCAGCACGCTTCTGTATCTGTCGATGATATTATCCAAGGCTGACGTACCCATATACAATAGCCTGTGCGTCTCCTCACTTCACTATCGATCCATATTTCCCATGTTTGCCCACCAGCGGAGTCCAACCACGTGCTTTGCGATCTACTAGAGACTGACAGGAGCTTTTCCCGATTTGCGAGACGAACGAGATCACTGAAGATACTGAGACCAGACTCCTTTGCTCGAGCACTACCACTGTGAAGTAGGCCAATACAGTTCAGGAGCATTGCTTGGAGAAGCCAAATAGGTACTGGTCCTGACAGGTGTCTCTCTTTCTAAATTCATAATTAGATCCAGAGTCTCTGTTGTCACATGGTCTGGGGTTTGTCGTACCTCTACCTGAATCGCACGGCGAATGAATTCGTGAAAAGCACCCGCACATCTCGCTGTTTCCGGTGAATTAATAACGTGACAGCCAACTGCAGATATTGCCATGGTCAATATCCAGTGACATTTGTTCGGATCAAATGTTGGCAGATGAAAGATTGGATAAACTGGTTGGAATGTATCCAAATAGTGTCGAATAAAGCAATCCAACGTCTCAACTGAAGGAAAGTAGTCCGTCTCAAAAGGAGTAAAAAGAAAACTGTTTGTACAGCACAGTTGATCGAAGGCCCGGCGCATCTGTTCGTACGTAGTAGGGTCAATCGGCTTCGCTGACCGTACATCGTCCGATAAGCCATCCATCTCAACATCTTCGATCGGGGAAAATGCAGGTGGCAATTCCTGCGCGCCGTTCCCCAATTGCAATAACAAATTCAGTTGATTCCCCACAGAATTTGACCAAGTTCTTCTTTTCCGACTGTATTTCGGACGTCGAGCACCATCCCCGTCTACATAGTAGTCTCCAGAACGCACTGAACCTTCACATGACACCGAACGTGGAGAGGTGTCTTCGGCGGTATGAGTTTTCAGTCTGGGACTTTTGGCAGTTGACCGCAAAGGGATATCACTGGTGTAGCTCTGGGATGAGTTCTGCGCATTATGGTAAGAATGCATCTGATCGGCACTCGCAGCGGGTGGAAGCCATGCGGTCCGCGTATTGAAGCTTTCTGACCACAGCCCCTGGATAGGCTGCGGAGAAAGTCCTTGTGTCAAGGACAAAGTGTTGCCTGGTTCTGGCAGTAAATTAGTAGGGAGCCAGTTGATTGCCGAAAGCTCTCCCTGATCGAACAGATTTTGGCCAAGCGCTATTGGTAGTGGCTGACTAGTTGAATTTGCCATCTCAATATCCATATCGGCATTGTTTACACCCGACTGGGTATTCTTGGCATGTCCCCCTGTGCTAGTGGAGGGATCACTGGTAAATGGGGCTTGGAAAATCGGTGCTGACACATGTTGATACATATGCCGCGAATTTATATCAGGATACGAAGGGTACGGAAGCCGTGGTATCTCCGCAGTCTCTTCATGTTCGGGCAAAGGAACATGTCGATTTGCGTTTTCAAGATCCGACACCAGTTGGGACCGGCGATCCGTAGACTGCTTGCGGTTTTCACGAGAGGTTCGTTGTGCGGATCCATCAGACCCTGCGCTGGAGGCATCGCAACTTACGAATCGGAATTGTATCTGGTTCGGCTGCTGGCTCGGGCGCGGGGGTTGAGAGTCGGCCGTCACGGAGCTTGTCTGCTTGCTGACGTGGTCTGCTCCAGGCGATTGAGGTTTGTCCAGTCTGTCCCTGGAAGGGTGCTGGTCGATTATCGAGCTCAGTGAATGCCTGTTTGATTCTTTACCCGCCTTCAGTTTGGATCGTCTCTCCGTCGGATATTGACACCCAAGGCTGCGGCCTTGACATCGAACACACGGATCACCCCCACTACATCTGACTCGGGCTGTTGCACAATTAAAGCATGCGCGAAACGTTTTGACGGTGATCCTGTGCGTCCTGTCCAGCCTGAGCCCCGGCGCGTGATGACTCAGATCATGTCGGTGGAGGGTATCACTGGAATAGAGAACACAGAATTAGACAAGCCACCATTAGAAGCCAATGCAAGGATGGGTTTGTCCATAAAAGTCCATTGCTGGACCAATTGGAATCGAGCTGGGATTTCGGTGGTATCACATTTATCAAGAATAGCATGGGAAAAGAGGAAGATAAGGGGAGATAGGATAAGGATGCAACGTGCCTTCTCGAAAAGCGTCGACTACACTGCGCACACTCGAACGGTTTCTCCTTCGTATGACTGCGAAGGTGTCGCTTCAGATGCTCCGGCCGTCTGAAAGTGGTCTGACATATTTCGCATTTCAATTGCCCAGCAGAGGGAGCATTTACACGGTCATGTCCGTCATCATTGTCCACGCGCATCGCATCACCTTCGGGCTCGCGTTGATTTGCATCTTCTGTTGCACCTCAAATGTCAGCATCCCCAACCAGAGGTATTTCACATGCATCGAGATTCACAGAGAAAAGCATCGAAATCCGGGTAGCAGACGTACCTGAAGTTGTATCTGGACGAGCTAGGCCCGTCTCCGCAGACATGGCGTCTATTCCACAGCTTGAGCGACATGAGGTTTAGCGCTGCAGAGCTTCAATACAAGTCCGAGAGTTAGAAGACCTAAAAAACGCCATCGAGTGGAGAGTGGATGTGGAGAAGACGTACGAGATGAAGCGCACCAGCGTCGTCGCGTCCTCACCATTTCGGGAAGAGAAGCAGGAGCCCGATTACATGCTGGGGAAGCGCTGTCTAAATAACCTCGGACTGCAAGCGCCTCTTGCTGGGCTTAATTACCCAAGTTAACAGTGGAGCGAGATGGCGGTCGACTGTTAGCATCTTCTTACCCCGGGATCGGACTGCCCGAGTGGTCATCGATGCAGGCCATCATTGGCGGATGCCTTCCTTCGCGCCTTCCTCCGCATCTCCACATCGGTTATTAGGAACGCCCGGGGTTGCGATTTTTCCGAGGCAGGGAACATGCCAGTTCTCTCTTCTCACCATCACGGTCGTCGTATGTTCACAGGTTATCAGTCTGCGATCTACAACATGAATCCACATGAAGCTCTACCATCACCAGCCAGCGCATAATAAAAGCTCACGTCGTTGAGATTCTCAGCTGAGGATGCTGCAAAATCCCACCCATTCTTTTGGCGGGCGTGGTTACTCAGGCCTGGTCACGTGGTGCTGTCGATGGATTTGATTCATATGATCGATATGATTTCGCCCTTTCAACCATCGCCTGCAGGAATTGACCAGGAGGAGTATTGGAGTATTTGGTACAAAGCTGAGGCGAGCTAGGCTGGGATGTTGAGCGATGAAGCGAACGCTGATCCATTAAGGAGTCCGACCGTTGCTCACCATAAGCATTTCGAGCTCTCTGTCCTTGATCTTATTGTTTCCTCGATCCTCCACGATCAATGCAAATCTTCGTACGCCTGCAAAAAAAAAAAGGAAGACTGTCAAAATCCTCACAATGAGCTATTCATATAACCGTTGGAAATCTCGTCACGCAGATGGTCCCTGTCCAAGTTTCCACGGACGCATCTTACAAACTCGCCAATCAATAATAGGAAAGCCTTCTTGCTACACTGACAAACGTATGCATAATCGACTTTGTATTGTATCTTATTTTGGAGCATGGCAACCTCATGCAGCCATGCCCAATGGCATCTGCCATCTGGCGCATTATCCACGTGCTGCCAGCTGACCGAATTGACTAATTACTAGGATTCTTTACACATTCTAAGAACCTATAATTGCACATCAGGTCTGGTAGATCTGCAAACTCCGATGGAGACAGGTTCCTACTGTCGTATTAAAAATTACAGCTTGGCATTTTTAGGTAAAGAAGATGGCAAATGAAGGAAAGTAAAATTGTTGGGAGACTTGCAGTATACTCTGGAGCAGAATATATCTCTCAGTTATAGTCATCTAAAAAAATATTGATAATCGATGTGAACTTTTGATGTTGCAGGCTTACGCAAGCGCTGTATTTTGCGGCTATCTTCCGCAGAGGTGCACTGACCGCCTATCAAGTCGGAGGACAGCGGAACTTCAGCGTCCCCGTCATAATGCAACGTCGCCGGCGACTTTTGCATCTCGAATATTGCTGATTGGGGTATCTACCAATTTATTTGAACATGTGATTTCACAGATGATACGAAGTGATGGGAACCACAGTCATCGTCATCAGGAACTCTCCATCATTGGTATGTACCCAGTGGTTTTGTCAATATGTCAGCCCCCAGCCTGATCTCTGACTACAGTGGTATCAGAATGTTCCTTGCGCATTGCGATTACGCCGCGCTCGATCAATAATATCATACATTTCCATTATTCAGTCACTTGTTGAAAAGGATCGTATGGTCCCATGAGCGGCGTCACCGAGAGCTCTGCTCTCGCTGGCCGATCGAGCTCCCAACGACCCCAAGGCAATGCCGAACAACACGTCTGCGGCCCTTCAGGGTGCAACAATGGCGTTCAATGCCTATCCCCCGAAGAATCAGGCATCAAAAAATAACCAGAATCCTAACGGAGCGATGAGAGCGGCTGTTCTGGCCGATCGAACAAAGCGTCCTACGCCGTCGCCTAATCGTCTCTCTCCTGAAACCCCTGAAGAAGGCTCCGTGAAGGATAAAATCAGAAAATTCTCCGAGAATTCTCTTTCTGCAAGCTCATCGCAGGCCGAAGACAATAGGGTTGGACGTCTTGGTTCAAGAGCCCAAACTCCGCAATTACTGGCCGCCACGAAAGCTGCAGAGAGATCTGCATCTCGAACCCCCCAGGATCCCACCCCGACGGGGCCGACATCACAGGGAAAACAGCCCATAGTTGGTGAGATACATTCTCCTGGAAATGGCATGTGTCAGCAAGGAGCGCAGCCTGCTCCCACGCCCGACAAGCAGCCTCAGCAGCTGCCCGCACCCATACCTATTCGCCGGATATCATCTAAAAACATTCCTCTACGTGACGATTTGGATGGTGGGAGCGATTCTTGGAATACCCAACAGCCGATAACTTACGGTGGACCAGATGCTCCAGATACCACGGAAAACTCATCAACTACGAGGTCTACTAGCCCTGTAAAGTCTACTGCAAGGGAACATACGAAAGAGTCGACATTAGAGACTGTCAATCGTTTACCGAGAAGTCAGGAACCGACGATATCTCAGAGGAGCCCTGTTCCCGGAACCAGCAGTCAAGCGTCCAAAGAAAATCTGGCCCACACGAAACCATCTCCGTCCATCTTAGGTGAGCAAAAGCCAAAGCTTCCGCCAAGACCAGCGGCCTCAAACTCCAATGGGGAGGACCAGGCCTCCCTGGCGAGTCTGCGAGATGACGTCCCCAAGAAGAAGCGGTCAGACTCTGTCAGTACGCCGTCATCATATCTCCCGTCGACATCTGACCAGACGTCGACCTCGACCCGGACTCCGACCTCCAGACATGACAACGGGGACGTGGAGGAGGCGTCGGGGATGAGTAAAGAGTCTCTGGCAGATGCAATCATTGCCTCGTCCCTTGCATCCTCTCGCGCCCCGTCGCCGATGAAAGCGCCTCCACCACTTCCACCACCCCGCCGGCCCAGGTCGCGTTCCCTTCTGCATCCAGGAAGTATCCTGAAGGGGGAAACGCGTCGCACACCCAGTCCACCTAAGGGATTGAGGCAGACGCTACGGGATCCGTCCAAATCCGACGACGAAGAAGAGAAGGAGAAAAGATACAATCGAAGACATCTGATACCACACCATCCTCACAAGCATCACGAGGGAGATCGAAAGCGATGGCGGAGAGAGATCACGGAGCGAGAACGCAAACGATATGAAGGCGTGTGGGCCGCCAACAAGGGCCTGTGGATCCCCCCCGACGCGCTCCGAAACCGAGCTTTCACCGACGAGCAGGATTCGTCACGACCCCTGGTTCCCTCTGAGATGGTGGTGAATCTGGTGGTGCGTGATATCTGGTCTCGCAGCCGGCTGCCGACGCATGTGCTGGAGCAGATCTGGGACTTGGTGGACCGTCACGGGATCGGGATGCTGACTCGGGAAGAATTCGTGGTTGGAATGTGGCTGATCGATCAGCAGCTGAAAGGGCATAAGCTGCCTGTCAAAGTTCCTGACAGCGTCTGGGAGAGCGTGCGCCACGTCTCGGGGATCAAGCTTCCGCGAGAATTTTAGGCTTGCCTCGTGGTTATCTCTTTGCGTGGCTCTGGAGGTGTTTTCCCACTGGAGCCTTTTTGGCAGACCCTCTGTGGTAATTTCTTGTAATGACTAATAATAGATAGATTTGTGCACATGCCTGCCCTGTCAGATGCGCTGGAGATTAGATGGTTACCGTGGTCAGGGTTCGTGCAGGATGGCCGATGACAAATAGGGCCGTCCGCTGATAGGCCCGTCATGCTCAACGCGCTCGGGCCTTGCAAGTTCTTCAGCAAGTGGAGCCCCGTCGATAGGACAAAATTATTATGTACGTCACTGTGCAGTGCCTGGCCTCCTCCCTCAGACTGTAGTAGAATTTCAAGCAGGGCGGAGGCTCCTGGCTCTCGTGTCCATTCTTTCTGGGACCATGATCGACCAAATCTTCGAACGCTGTAGACTTTCTGGGGGCCCGCCGCGCCAGCACACCAATCCGGCCTGCTGGTAAGTTAACGGGATGCCAACTTACCAGACTACCCAGTTTCTCGTGTCACCGGCGTTTCCTGGATGGCAGCGCGCAGCCGCATCCGACGCCGTGGATAAGGTGCTGACAGCCAGCGTCCCTGGTCCCTGTGGTAACAGCGGTACGGACTGGGGCGTCGGGCAGGCGCGACCCGCCGTGCGGCCTGGTCGAGGCCGGCGGGCGTCTCGTCGACAACTTTAAGTTGCAGCACAGCGAGGTCTCCACTGCTGGAAGTGGAAGGAGCGACTCGAGCTCTGGCGCGTCGCCCTGTGGCAACTCAGGCAGGCACAGCGCGCGCCACTAGGCCTCTTCGAGCCCGCCAAAATCAAATCCCGACGTATCCATCACTCCAGGAATCGGGATCTGCTTCCCACGAACCGCCGGCCCAGGATGGGGATCGATGAATCAGCAGCATGCCACCGCTGCTAATTTCCCATATCTGGCCAGCTTGCGAGCTCGAGCGAATTAGATTCTCCTGTCCTGGTCGCCCGGGACTGGGTTTGGCATCGATTATGCGCCTCTTGGGTTTACTCCATCTGCGCGGGGTTTGCGATCTGTTCGATCTATCGTCTCGGCTGCCCTCTCCGTCTTGAGCTGAGAGAGCCTCGACCTCAACACCATCGCGATTTACCTTGGCGGGTTTCATCTTGCACAACTCTCTGGGTGGATCGCCATGGTGTTGGAGCAACCCCAAGAACCCCGGCAGCAGCATCAGCAGGAGGCAGATTCGAAGCCACCGACCCCTGTCATAGCCCGACGGAAGTTTGCCAAACCGCCCGTAAAGGTAGCTTGTTTGGCCTGGTAAGCAAGCCCTCGTTTTTGTGATGTTGTCTGATCCCTTTGATCCTGCGCCCGTTTCCTTACGCGATCTTGCTTGTCCAACACTGATCCTGGATGATTGTTGTGACAGTCGCGCCTCCCGGACGCGCTGTGATGGCCAGGAGCCATGCTCCAGTGTATGTGCTGTCCCCATTCGTCCTTGTCATCCTGAAGTTGGCAATATTGTTCTTTAGCTCTGGAATCCCCTACTGAGTCGATAATTCTTCTGGAAAAAGTGCGTCAACAAAGGCAGGAAATGCTCCTATCTGCCTAGCAAGCGTGGAGGTCCCCGAAAGAAGAAAGTCCCGGCTCCTGCTGCTCCTCCAGCAGAGGTTTCGCAAAATGGCTCCTGGAACCCTGCTCTCGTGCCAGCGACACGATATGAGGAAGGTATGCGCACCGTGATTTTTTCTACTGGACGAATGCAACCGATTTCATTATACTGACCACGACCACCAGCGGATGCTGCTATGTTCGGTCAGATCGATCCCATGTCTCTCCCGGGGGCTGGCTTGAGACATCTCGACTTTCAAGACGTCCATGGGATGTTCGATGGCATGTTTATTCCCAGGGAAGGAGAGCACCCTCCGGCTGTCCCGCAGTCGGCTCCGACGCCAGTTCGGAAACAGCCCATGGTGAGAGCTTACGGCAGTGAGCAGGACATGTGAGGCACTACCCTTCCGATTCTGACTCATATGGATGGGCGCAAACTCCTAATCCAGTGCACAGATTGAACGCATATTACGACTTCATCCACCCGTATTTTCCGGTGCTCCCGCCGAGAGTGACTGGTCCTTGTCCCGACCAACCGTTGGATCACGCAGGTTCCCAGCCAAACTCCTTGTCTGAGGAGCCGTCCCTTGTCTACCAGCCATGCTCTCCATTAAGTCTCGCCATTTCCGCAATTCTAGCGCTTGTTCCTCATCCCAATGACCCTGACCCATCAGATCCGAGCTCGGTGCTTCTGCGAAGATCATATGCACAGACCTACGCACGCCTGGCAACGACGAGTATTGAGGCCGATGGCGAACTGATTGACTCCGTTACCCAACCGTCACAGGCCCTGAACTATGCACAACCATCCATCAATCGACAGCCACTTCATCCTCGGACCCCTGTGGAACTGGAAGCCATTCTTGCACTGTTGATTCTCTGTGTGTACGAGTACGCGCAACGTGGGAATCTGATGAAGATGCGGTATCGTGCCGGCCAGGCGTTGGTGATAGCAATGAACATGTCTCTCCATGCATTGGGACCGGAGCAGGACGATTTTTCCGAAGCTCGACGACGGGCGTGGTGGATGACTGTATGATGGCTTTTTCGACAATCCTCAAAAGTCTGTCCTACTAACAACGCGTCTGCGCAGTACTATTGTGTCCTTCAAGGCGCGATCATTACTTCAAATGTGCGTTTTCCTACTTCCATTCGGGCGTATTGACTAGAAGCTAACAAGACGATTGCAGCCCCCTACGGTCATGATTAACGATCCTCGTTTCACAACCCCGTACCCCCATTTTGCATCAGACCCCGAGGTAAATAGTTTCTCGTCCCTTTTTCCTTTTTCTTTTTTTTTAACTGTCTTCGACTGTGAAGAAGATCGACTAACGATGTTTGCAGGGATGGTCAATACTGATACAAGCACAACAAGTACTGGTTACTGCAAGTCAATTCGCCGTTGATCTGCATAGATGCATCAAGTCGCGGTCCAATATGCAATTTATCTATGAACAAATGAAGCAACTCGATGCATGGGCAACTTCAGTGATGACACAAGCAAACACCCCTCCGAGTGTTCCACCCCCTGGCCACCTCAATAATGGAACGGAATTCATCACTGCACGAAGCATTCGAGCAATAGCGAGGATCAAGGTGTCCAGGTATTTATTCATCTCGGTTTCCGCAGTGTTCCGGATGCAAGTATCAGCTATCGTTCTAACTTTACTGCTCTGTAGTGCTCATATCAAGACTCATCGTTTCCGCGCCTTCTCCGACATTCCAATCTTCCTCAAAAAGCATTGTGACCTTTCACCACAAAACTCGAATCCCGAAAACCCGTACCATATGATGAACGCTAATAGAGAGATCAATCCAATTTCCTGCCAATGCCATGGTTTCGAGACATCTGCCCATCTGCTTGGTGGAGAGTATAGCGGCTCTCCATCTGAGTCGTCCACGTCCTCCGGTTCTGGTTCACTGAATCCCCACTACTGCGGGCTCGGTCCTGGATTTCCCTTCAGTAGCCAGCATTCGGCCAAGGTGTGCCTTCGGGCTGCGCTATTTATCTCGCATATGTTCCAGAGTCTCCCATACCCACAGCCATTTCGTCACAGCAATCAGGCTGGCCCTGGCTCACAGCTCGAACCCTATCCTGACCCTGCAAGGTTGGATCCTCGGACACAGCTACCTCGCACTATGCCATCGTTCGCGTGTTGCGCCATGCAGAGCAGTTATGCGTTACTTATGCTCTTCTACAAGACGCGTGTGGCGCAACAAGGGCCGTCGGACGCCGAGCGCGACAGCGAGAATCCTTCCTCTACGGAGCGCCTAGTTGACGAGCTCCGACATGGTTTAGAGCGTATTATTGGCGCTGTGACGAACTATTCCAGAGCTTTCGAGGCGCTAGATGGGATGAGAGGTTAGTATTGCTGTTATAATCTTGGCAGTTCTCTTTTGCCGTTCCATACACCGAAGGGTTGCGGGCAGGTAGCTAACATCTGATGTTTCTGGAAATCTCACAGACGAAATTGAAAGTGCATTCCGTACAGCATTCTCACAGTCCTGAACTATAATTACGCCACTATAATCTCGATCTATATTCAGTATTTATGTCACGGCCGCAACACACTATCATCTTTCGGTGTCAGGAATCGCTTCTTGCATGCCATTTTGTGTTTTCTCTTTTCTAAATGGGGCTATGTCCTTTTTTCCTCTTGGTCCTATTCACCAGCAAGAAAATACCCTCCAGTTTCCAACGTTACAGAGAGAGATGCCAGCCGCAATCTGAAGCTGGCTTTTAACGGCCGTTCTAATGATTGGTTATTAGAATATTCTATGCATGTATGATGCAGGTTGTGTCTTTTTTTTCTTGAACCGATCCATCCTGGGGCTTTGCGGTGTCTTTGGGGTTGGTTTCATGGCGCACCCATGGGTTTTTTTTTCTTCCCAGATTATTCGAGCCTACGAGAGGAAGACTTGGGGTAATAAGGGTAAAGGTGCTAGAGTGCCAGGGGCGTTGTTTCTTTTCTTTTCGTTTTTTCCCCCCACAACATTGTTCATGTCTGTACAGCCTGGTCACTGAAGTCGGGGACATGGGTGTTACACGCGAGGTGTTTTCTGAGAGAGATTTTTTTTTTCTTCATTATTTTACCTCTCCAAGGACGAGTCTTTCTTTCCGATGTTATCTACTCCTGCATGTCTTTGCATATCTGTACAGCTGCTGATTTTTTTTTGTCTACTCTCTCTGCATACGGCGGTTGTGCAACTCTGCCCCGCCTCTTTTTCCAGGACAGGCACTATTGTTGACCATGAGAAGTTTCTGACTCTCTTTGTCCTGCATGCATGCGCTGTGCCAAGCACACAGGAAGGAATGAAAATGTCAGAGCGTTGAAAAACACGCATGGCAGATCAATCAATCAAACATATGACTCGAGTACAGAATTGTCTTTCCGCTACTTGATATCTATCTAGATGCTTGAGCAAAAGAAAGATAGAGAAAGAAAAAAAAAAGTTCAAACCCCGAGTTTCATTCAAAACTCTTGTTTTGTATGTATTTGCAGAAAAGAACGCCATGCCAAATAAATAGAACCCGCCAACCAAAAAAAAAAAGAAAAGAAAAGAAAAAGAAACCCAAAGATGAAAGCGACGATTTCCCAAGAGATTCTACATACCGATGCAGGATATCTCGAACCGAACAAGCAGGCAGATAACATAACAGGAATGCCAACGAGAATGAAGCTGGGATAGGATCAGAATCGGATAAGATAAGATGAGATAAGATAGATGCCCCATGTGGGTACCTGTACCTGGCAGGTAGACCGTAGGTCAGGGTGATCGTCACATCACATGACAGACAACTTGATTTGTTGTAAGGCTGACTGGCTGGGTGGTATGGAAGGTTGGTAGATCATCGGATATGGAGCAATCCAATAGATAGGGATATGTTTTAGAATGATGATGTGGCAGGATTCAAGCCTCCTCTATATTTTTCTTTGTTTCTTTTATTTTTATTTTGATCAGTCAATCAGAGCTTTGATCGAATGCCCTCGAGCCGGAACTTCACATCTTTGAGCACCTTGCTGGTGGGCTTCCAGTCGTCAAATTGCCTCAGGAGCTCCATGCTCTCTTCATGAAGCTCACGGCGAACGTAGTCTTCTTCGAGAACGCCACGCATAGCGAAGGGGAGGATGTAAGGGTTGGGAGTTGATGTCGGGCTGGATCTTTGGATACGTAGCGGGACACCGCTGACGTTGGATGTTTCCAAAGCGAACTCGACGGCGAGGCTGGGAGCTCCAAGGTTAGAAAAGGTTCTACCAAGGACACGAGATCTGGAATGGCATACTAATATATATTCTCCTCATCGTGGAGTCGGGAATGGCCTTCGCCTGTATAAAGACTGCCAACAAGAGGAGCGCTAAGCTCACGGATGAGGCCATGATCTGATATTCCAAGATTTCGTAGTTTAAGTACAAATCCCACGAGGTGTGAGAGACTGTAGATATTGGTTAGAAACCTTTGAACATCAGAAAAGAAAGAGCAGTCTGTTGCTTACAAGCTTGGAGTGTGGACTCTACCGTCAACGAAGACGGCTCGGTATATGTATGGATGGGACGCCGGGGCGAATAGAGATGACTACAGGTCAAAGTCAGATCTGGCCTGAACCTTAGAATACAATAACGTACCTCCAAAGAGACCAACTGGTCATCAATGCTTCCAACATAAGCTATGCGAACTCCAAAATCCAACGCGGTCTGCAACGCTGCCTCGTATTCCCGCGAGACTTTGCTGGTGGGATGTGCAAAATCAAACAGTTCCCCAGCAGAGCCGCCAATCCATCGAGACTTATAGTCCGGGAACGGGCCTAGGTTCACACCTGCCATAGCGCAAATGCCAATACGACAAGCATTTAGGCATCCAAACGCGATCAATTTCGCAACCAGCATGACTGTGACCGGGACACCCTGGCTGTGACAGGCAAACATGATGAAATCCGCTTCTCGGATGTGCTCCATCCAATTCAGAAGCAGTTTCCACAGTATGTCTACGCGTTCAGCAATGCGGCCCTCTCCTTCGAGGGATATCTTCTCCACGTTGCATTGATAGCCATGATTCTCTGCCCATTGATGGATGGCCTTCGCTGCCATGGTAGAAAACTTCAAGGACGTCCCGGTAGGCTGGCCCAGCACGGTCCGTATCAGCGGAGCCGGGAAGTAGCCATGCACTCCAATGGCCAGAGCTCTCTTGGGACGAGGCGGATCTCTAAGCACCAGAACATGCTTATTTTCGGGCTCTTTTGAATAATGGAGAAGCCGACCAATGGTCTGCAACCACGACGGGGATTCTTGCAGAGCGAACGTATCTCTGAACGAAGGCAGCAACTGGTTTGGCAGGACACTCTGCAGTTGTTTGGAGGCAGACACTTCCTGTGCTTTCATTTTTGCAGGGACCGAAGGACTTGGCGTGTCTATTGTGGATACAGTAGCCGCTCCAGGTTCGGCAGTATCTTTTGTGCCCTTGCTTTTGGCAACATCTTTTCCTGATTTTGGTTCGATCTCGACTTCAGCCTCTTGGCTGTCCTGTTTCGATCGCAAAGGCGTTGGCTCTGCCACCGAAACTTCGCCTGTCTCCTCTTCCTGATTCGTTCTCTCTGTGCTCTCCGTCCTGGACCAGAATGCCCAACCAGAGGTTCTCGCAGGAGCAGATGAACGTTTCGAGGGTACACTTTCCTGCACGCGTTCAGTTTCAGCGTCATTAGGTGGCGGCTTCACATTAGCGGCTTGAGTTGCAGAACGTTCTTCTTCAATACACGGTTCTTTCTTTGATTCGTCTTGCTGTAATTCTTCTGTAGATTTCGGTGCCGTGGAGTATCCTCCCCACATCGGTAGCCACGACCATCTTTGTGGTGTATTTCTTTCACTGACGGTTGGTTGTTCAGGTTGCGAGGTGGTAGCAGAAGTGTCTGATATAGTTGGTTTGTCTCTCCCGGCGTCAGAGCTGGGTGCTACAGGATTTTCAGTCGGCGCTGTGCTTGGGGCCTCCGCAGGAGGAGACTTGGTCGTCCCCATTTCCTTAGAGCTGGACTTTTCTGCTGAAGTTGCTCCCCAGCCAAACCAGCTAAACCAAGATGTAGACTGATCTGATGGCTTTGATGTATTGTCAGGTTCCTGGCGAGAATCTTCTGTATTTCCGGATTGGCTGAGGGTAGTAGTCTCTGAGCTTTCCTTTGTGTCCTTAACCGTATCGTCCGAATCTAACGGACACTCTCCTTTGTCTTTCGTTTCATTACGCGGTGCATCGGGAGTGGGTTCCTGCAGGATGATTTCAGTCGCTGGCGAAGCAGATCCGTCCGAGGCGATGTTGATACGAGTTGTCGTGGTCTCAGCCGGGAGAGATCTGCTGGGGGAGCCGGCTTTCTTGGTTAACTGGATTGAACGAGACTTAAAATGCCTCGGGGTTTCGGGAAGCGATGTCGTCGATGGCGCCAGTTCCGATGTGATATTCCCGGCGACAGAGATGCTCTCTCGTGCCACTTCCGTCACGGCGGCCGCTTTGGATCCCCGCGGCCAGGACTTTGTGTACCAGGCCTGTTTCCAGATCTCAATTAGCAATGACTTCCACTGCTATGACCCCCATAGACAACCCACTTACCGCCCCACTCCCCTTCTTCTGTGGAGTCGAGCTGTTATCTTGTGCCGGTTGAGTCGAAGCGGAGCTCTTGCTGGACACCAAGCTGACTTGCGAGTCAGCGGCCGAGGGGTTCGACTTCACCTTTCGGGATCCCATGGGGCCGATCGGCAGCGCAATAAAGACATCACCCACGGAGTTTTAGATCAGACGGAACCGAGAGTGAGGATGTACGGGGAGAGCATGGCGGAAGCGGATGTCGTCTGCCTCGGGAAGCGCGTGCTGCGATGCTGCCATATCAATCGACCGAGCTCCGCCCTCTGGCTGGTGCCACGAGGCGCTGATGTCACTGACTCATGCATGTGACTTGGGGTTCCTTTCCGCCCCAGGCAGCAATTGGGTGTCTGAGGTCATGTGATTTCTCCTGGCCTGGGCTGCACCGCCACAACTGTCGAAAAAATTGTGTGGAGAATAGATGCGCCGATAAGCGACCAGACAACTTTTTTCGAGACAGCAGGCTCACCAGCCGCTGGTTTGCTTCCCAGGATTGGGAAAATCCCCCACAAGGCCTTGTCCTGTCTTTCGTGATCCGATATCTGGTCGTAGGGTAACCCTGCGCACCCTGATTCAGGATGGCGATCCAGAAGAAGGTAGGCAATGCTGCAATCCGATCTCTGCGAAATGGATACTGACCCGTTCACAGCATGGAAAGGGCCGTTTGGACAAGTGGTATAAACTTGCCAAAGAAAAAGGCTACCGGGCACGAGCAGCATTCAAATTGATCCAGCTTAACAAGAAATATGGCTTTCTCGAGAAGAGCAAAGTACTTCTCGATCTGTGCGCAGCGCCCGGGGTAAGTAGCTCAGCAATGGTTCTCCCTCCAGCACGGGCTGCAGCTGACAAGGGGCTTAATTACAGTCATGGTGTCAAGTTGCGGCAGAATGTATGCCGGCAGGAAGCCTCATCGTCGGAGTCGACCTCGCCCCGATCAAACCCATTCCGCGAGTCATTACCTTTCAGGGCGACATCACGACAGACAAGTGTCGTTCCACCATCCGTTCGCATTTCAAACATTTGAAGGCTGATACGGTGCTGCACGACGGTGCGCCCAACGTCGGTACGGCGTGGATCCAGGATGCCTTCTCTCAAGCCGAACTCGCGTTGCAGGCATTGAAGCTGGCTACCGAATTCTTAAAGGAGGGCGGCACGTTCGTAACTAAGGTGTTCCGCTCCAAAGACTACAACCCGCTGCTGTGGGTTCTTAAGCAACTCTTCACGTCGGTCGAGGCTACGAAACCGCCATCCTCCCGAAATGTTTCTGCCGAGATCTTTGTTGTCTGCCGTGGGTTCAAAGCCCCCAAACGCCTTGACCCCAGATTCTTGGATCCCAAGCATGTGTTCGCTGAATTGGCCGATCCCACGCCGAACAATGAAGCGAAGGTCTTTAATCCGGATAAGAAGAAGCGGAAGAGGGAGGGTTACGAAGAGGGCGACTATACCCAACACAAGGAGATCCCCGTGACCGAATTCATCAATTCGACCGATCCAATTGCGATCCTGGGCACGTACCACAAGCTTAGTTTCCAGCAGTCTCCGGGAGGGGACCTGGCGCTGGCCACTTTGGAAAGACTGGAAGAAACGACCGATGAGATTCGGGCTTGTTGCGAAGATCTTCGGGTTTTGGGTAAAAAGGAATTCCGGAACCTCTTGAAATGGAGACTGAAAGTCCGCGAGAAATTCGGTCTTACAGTCAGGAAGAAACAAGCGCAAGATGAGGAGGCGGAGGAGGTGACTGAAGTTGCGCCGCTGGATGACGAATTGGCGATTCAGGAAGAGTTGCAACGCCTGCGTGAGAAAGAAGACGCACGGAGAAAGAAGGAGAGGCGCAAGGAAAATGAGAGAAAACGCAAGGAAATCATACGGATGCAGATGCATATGATTACGCCTACGGAGATTGGAATGGAACAGAGCGGACCGACCGGGGAGGACTCTATGTTTGCCTTGAAGACGGTCAATCAGGAGAACGCGACGGACAAGATCGCTGCGGGAAAGGGCGCTGATCTACTGAGTGACGAAGAAGAATCAGAGTCATCAGAAGAAAGCGATGACGAGACAGACGAGGAGGAAGATCGACTGGAGCGAGAGCTGGACTCGATGTACGAACAATATCAGGAGCGCAAAGAAGAGCGCGACGCGAAACTGCGAGCAAAGAAGGCCCGAAAGGATTACGAAGAGGAGGAATGGGAGGGTTTCTCCGACAACAACAAGGGTGACAACAGCGAAACTTCAGATGAGGAAGGCTCTGATTCCGCTGTGGCTGTTACTGGTGGCAAACGCCCCGTGTCTGATCATCTGTCGAACAAGGCGGCACTATTCTTCGACCAGGATATCTTCCAAGGCCTGGGGGACGTCAATGAAATCGAGGATGAGGATAGCGCCATTGAGGTGGATGGTGATGACAAGTCAGCCAACAAAGCTGCTACTTCTGCAAAGAAGTCTACGCGCGGAGAGTCCGCCCCGGAAAAGTCTTCATCCAAACAGAAGACCGAACCTCACAAGGATTTTGAAGAATCTTCTGATGAGGAGGAACTTAAAGATCCCCGGACAAAGGATGGCCGTCTAGGTATGTCTGCTGCCACTGGATCTGGCTCGTTTGGCATCTTGCTGACCATGAATTGTAGATATCGACATTATCACTGCAGAGGCGATGGCTCTTGCACAGCAAATGGCTGCCGGAGAAAAGAAGTCGGAAGATGTAGTGGACGATGGGTTCAACAAGTATTCGTTCCGGGACACCGAGGGTCTGCCAGATTGGTTCCTGGACGACGAGAACAAGCACAGCCGTCCTAACCGGCCAATCACCAAGGAAGCCGCAGCAGCCATCAAGGAAAAGATGCGCGCAATCAATGCCCGGCCTATCAAAAAGGTTCTAGAAGCGAAGGCTCGCAAGAAATACAAGGCTGCTAAGCGGCTGGAGAAGCTGCGCAAGAAGTCTGCTCTCCTGGCTGAGGAAGAGGGCGTCAGTGAGAGGGACAAGGCGCAAGCGATTGCGAAGTTGTTGAGCAAGGCAGCCAGGAAGAAACCGAAGCAACAAGTGAAAGTGGTGGTCGCCAAGGGCAGCAACAAAGGAATCCGTGGCCGTCCCCGGGGGGTGAAGGGCAAGTACAAGATTGTGGATGCACGGTTGAAGAAAGACATCCGAGCACAGAAGAGACTCACCAAGAAGAAGAAGCGTTAAAAACGAGCAACCATCTGTATATACACTGTGCAGAGGCACTGTACATATTCATAGCACCGTGCATGATACTAATGTTGGGGATATTTACTACTTCACATCCTACTTTACTGTATATTGTTCTTAGCTCATTTTCACAGCCTATGTATGATAGATAATTGAATGCGAGGCACAGGCAGGACAGCAGGCCTTGTGAGATTGCTGATGCAGCGCAGATAGCAGGCGTAATCACGGGATCCAGGGCCATGGTTGTGGCGCCAGCCTTCCCGCGGGGCCGGAGTCCGGACAGCGCGCATGGCGGGACACGGAGTGGACAGCCTCGCTGGCGACGCTCACAGCAGACGTGCCGCTGTCCTGTGCGACTAAGACTAGAAAAACCCCCACCGCGGACAGAGAAGCCCTCGACCTTCTCTTCCGGGTAATATCTTTTCTTTCTATTTTTTACTTTCTTGCATCTGGTATTCTCTGTTGTCTATACAGATCTATCATGGTCTCGTCATTGCTCTTTTGTTTATTTATATCATAGCATATCGTCTCGCCTCCCTTTCTCGCCGCCTGCGCTTGCGCTTCGGAATTCGCCCCCGGGTCTCGGAGTCCCCCGAGTCCCGCGCGCGACATGGGATTCTTCGATCATCTCCAGAAGGGAGGTGCCTTCTCTCTCCAAGCCAAGAAACCGCAGATTCGCAAGGTTGTCCAGACAAAGCCGGCGCAACCGTCGCGATCATCGTCCGCCAGTGCTGCAGAAAATGGCACAACATCTCTGCCACGATCCGCATCCACGAACAAATCACGCGAGCCGAACGGCAAGCCAGTCTCTTCACGCCCTCACAAAGCCGACCCTTCCTCCAAGCGACGGTTAAGTACCCCATTTAGGAACTTGAAGAGGCCATCGCCGGCAGAACAGAGGCTGTCTAGCGACGATGATGACAGCGACACGGATACTTCTTTCGAGGTGCGCAAACGAGTACGGGTGAGCGCCAGCGTCGAGCCGGATCTGGAGCGACACATACGATCTGTCGAAGCATTTTCAACAGAGGGCCAAAAGACACTTTCCATGGTACATGCGGCAGATATCGCATCCGCGCAGGGCTCTGGAAAGTACAGGCGTGCATTTGAGGGATCGGGTGACCCTGCTGAGATTGTGCTGCAATATCCCAGTACTTTGAAAGGAGAGAGATACCAGCTTGTTGTACCGCGCGACAAAGATGATTTCAAGCCTCTCGATGATATTGTTCAGGTGGTTGAAATTGTTTCCCAGCACTATATCCCCGAAGATGCCGCAGACGAGTTCGACAACGAGTCAACTGGAATCAAGCGTCGAATCCGACGAGCCCTGGCTCACGCCTCCGAGTCCGAGTTTTGTCAAGCGATAACAGACTATAACAATGCTATTGAAAGACTGGTGGCTGATGGAACCATTGCTAAACATTTGGATGCGACTCATGGTTTGCGACTACCTCTCGTCGAGCGAATATTGACCCAGATATACTCACGGACCGTCTCGCCACGCGTCGATTCGCTGCGCCAGTACGAGAACGGGACGGACAATGTATATGGCGAGCTTCTTCCGCGATTCATAAGTACCATCTTCAAGGAGACCAAACTTAAGTCCAGTCAAGTCTTTGTAGATCTGGGATCCGGAGTCGGGAACGTGGTCCTGCAAGCAGCACTGGAAATCGGCTGCGAGAGCTGGGGTTGCGAAGTGATGCCTAATGCCTGTGATCTAGCGGAACTGCAGCAAGCAGAGTTTAAGGCACGATGTCGACTGTGGGGGATTGCCCCCGGCAAGACGCATCTTGTCCGTGGAGACTTTCTCAAGGAGGAGAGCATCATCAAGGTGCTCCAGCGTGCCGATGTGGTCCTGATCAACAACCAGGCGTTCACTCCGCAGCTCAACAACGCGCTGATCAACTTCTTCCTCGACATGAAAGAAGGGTGTCAGATCGTGTCGCTCAAGTCGTTTGTGCCTGCAGGCCACAAGATCCAGTCGCGCAATCTCAACTCCCCGATCAACCTGCTCACCGTGAAGCAAAGAAACTACTGGTCCGACTCGGTGAGCTGGACCGATGTCGGGGGTACATACTTCATCGCCACAAAGGACAGTTCTCGGTTGAAGAAATTTGTCGAAGAGATGAAGGAGTAGTCATCCTTCCACCGCTTTGGAAAAATATCTCTACAATCCAATCAGGCGACCGGCTGATTGGATTTCTAACCATGGTTTGGATCCGTGGCTGCCTATATATACTTCTGTTGTCTTGTTTTCTTTTCTTGGAAATAAACAACCTTACCTTACGTTCTGTGGATATATTTGCATGACGCACACAAAGTTCTGGATGTTGCCTGTCTTTGTTTAATGATACCAATTTTGCAGGAACAGCGTTGTTGAGAGTGATTGATACGCAATATATGTTGGTCCTTTTTTCCTTTTTTTTTTGGCATATTTCTTTTTGACTATGAACTACTATCCTTTCCAGGCATTCAGCTAGCCCGTCACTGTCATTTCGGGGGTAGACTTGTGTTTATATATCCATTATCTCTCTTCTCTAGATTGATTGTACAGTACATTACAGTCTAAATATCCCAAATCTCAATGTCTATATCGACCGAGCTACGTGTAGATTACAACTGTGGCGTGATCGGCATTATTGACCTGCCTGTCCACTGGCAGAGATACAGAATAAAGTCAAAAAACCTGATCCAGGTAAGGTTAAAGGGTAGTTTTCGCGATCGCGCAGCTATCCACTCACATGGAAAACTAACCTTCATACCTGCGAGAATCCAAGAATTCCGAGATTTGCCGGCAGAAAGTCTTTATCAGTGTTCGCTTCGTCATGAAAATTTCGAAGCTTCGTTCATCGCCTCTGCCTCTTTCCCCTTGTGTGCCATCCATCGGTCGATCAGTTCTTGGTTCTCACGCTGCAGCCGGCTGGAGCGTTCTTCGGCCATATTCAACTGCAGGTTGAGCGATGCCAATTCATCCTGGACACTCTGTGGAAAAATACACAAGTCAACATCCAGTTTTATTACTTTAGACTTCCTTTTTGCGAATCTAAACAGCAGATAGAAGGCGCGGGGGCGATCACACTTACATCCAATAGTTTTGCTTTCCCCCTCAACTCCTCATCGCGATCCCTCAACCGCAGCTGTAGGTGATGTCGCTCTCCCTCCAACGCTGTAATTCGCCTACCGTCTTGCTGGGTTTTCTTCTTCAGTTTCTCCAGCTCCTCAGTCGTGCGGGTCAGGCGATCTTGCAGCTCGGAGCGCGAGCGCTGCGCTGCAGTCAAGTCTGCTCGCACCGCCGCCAGAACCTCGTGCAGTGGTTTACCCGCATCTTGCTGTTGACCTGTCGTCGCTCCTCTTTTGGATGTGGCAGATGATGATGGGGCTGCGGCTGCTTCAGACGATTGTACTTGTTGCCTGGCGGTCGCTAAGGCGCCAGTCCGGTCTGCAAGTCGAGTGTCTGTTGCAATGAATGATTATTATCACGTTGCAGTTGAAGGGATGGTGATCTCCGTACAGGCATCGTAAAGGCCAATGTTCGCTTTCTCGCGTTCATCTCGGACTCCTAATGCGGCGTAGTAGTCGTCCCGCCAGTTTGCCATGGCGAGGCCTGGGTATCTCTAGTGGGGTGAAACCACACAGAAAAGAGGAGGTTAAAAGCTCCACGGTCATGAACACATCTTGTGCTATTTTTAATCAATAATACCTGATTCTCGGCTAAGAATCAGTAGCCCTGGAAAGGGAAGCCTGCGAGGTGCACGGAGTAGTAGGTAGGATAAGTACCTGAGTGGGGTATTACTTACTGCGGGCCCCTGGAGTACTCTGGCTCCGCCGCTCGCAGACCGCTCCGTCGACCGCCCTCGTGCTATCAACGTCACGAGGCCCGCTAACCCTCCTCCATCTACCTCGCGACATCTCGACTGTTCTCTACGCCTTCTCCCAGCCTACCGATCCTTTGTTAGGAGCTGGAATACCTGCTGCCGTACCTGGAGTTCGAACCGCCACTGCTTTTGCCATCTTAAGTCTGCTGCTGCCGCCATGGCATCAAGGAAGAAGGTCCTGTTGAAGGTAGAGTACCTGCTCCTGGGTCTTGCGCAGCTTGGCTTCAGGTGGGCGTGCTGGGCCTGATGAGCTTTTACTGACTCTATCTCTTCCCGCATTATCTAGGTCATTATCCTCGGCGACAGCGGCGTAGGAAAAACAAGCTTGATGAACCAATATGTCCGTGCCTACACCCTATCTGCGTTGGTATTTCGTCATAACCTCTTTCTAACGGTGACTTCTGTCGTCTCAGGTCAATAAAAAGTTCAGCGCGAGCTACAAAGCTACAATTGGAGCCGATTTTCTCACGAAGGAAGTGCTGGTTGATGACAGACTGGTGACGATGCAGGCATGTCCAGGATCTCCGCGGATGACAAGGGACGTCCATTGTTGACTGTGTTTTGCAGCTTTGGGATACGGCTGGTCAAGAACGATTCCAGTCCCTGGGTGTTGCCTTCTACCGAGGAGCAGACTGCTGCGTTCTAGTCTACGATGTGAATAACTCGAAGAGCTTCGAGGCGCTCGACAGCTGGCGGGACGAATTCCTTATCCAGGCAAGCCCTCGGGATCCTGAGAGTTTCCCTTTTGTGAGTGCTAAAGCTATTCTTGCTGCCATCATTATCATGGCGCTGACAGACCATAGGTGGTGATTGGAAACAAGATCGATGTGGAGGAGAGCAAGAGAATGATCTCTTCGAAACGCGCTATGACGTTTTGCCAGTCCAAAGGCAACCTTCCCTATTTTGAAACCAGCGCCAAGGAAGCCTTGAACGTTGAACAAGCATTTGAAGGTGAGCTCTGAAACTTGTTTCTAACTAGCACAATAGCTTGGTGTCCATTGTCTAATATCTTCCCCAGTTATCGCAAGGAATGCCCTCGCTCAGGAAGAAGCGGAGGAATTCAACGGAGACTTTAACGATCCAATCACTATCGGCCTTGACAGCGATCGCGACGGTTGTGCATGCTAAGACAATGACTCTGAGTTCACGTGAATGTCTACGCCTGTCTCTTTTCCTTTCTTGCTTTTTTTTCCTGTTGGTTTTGGAGTTCGTTTTACGGTATTTCACATGGGTGGACTTGTAGAGAAACCTCTACCTGCGTGTAATCCTGATTGCTGGGGATATATAATCCGCTGTAGCTGGCACTGGTCCGCTTCGAAAGCTTCCTGGTACAAGCTTTTACTCCTGGCATTTTTCTGTGGATTTTTTTCTTCACTTATTCTGCTCTTGTCAATGTCTGAGACCTGTTCGTTTTTGGGGAGTCTGGGATATCCTTTCTGTAAGCTAATTACTACTTGACCATTGCGATCAGCCAAATACATGTCTCAAGGAACAATATATGCTGCACAGGCAACTTGATCGTTGGTTAAAATTAGGTGAAATTCACAAGAACAAAACTTGGACTGGCACATACTCTTAGAATCTGAGATTGCAAGGAGGTCAAGTGCTGCATGGTCCACCGTGGTCGGTTGCCAGTTCCTAGTCTGGGTCCCGGCACGCCATCGCGCCAAGCATCGGAACAGGCGGAGGTCAAGTCAGCATTACTGCAACAGCAACACTCGGTTAATTTGGTAGCTTAACTATCATGCGGTGGGAGCGTTGCGGTGAAACCTTCCATTCTTCCCTTGACCCCAGCCAGGTCTCTCACCTATACTCCCTGTTGACCGGGGAGACCTTCGCTGCTTGGTGAGAGATTGTCGAATTTGAGATGTTTGCTAAATTCCTGGCTTGTCAACGTCTATCTCATCGTATCTCCATGCGGACAAGCCTAAGGCAGCAGCAGCAGGCCTGCTCAAAGAGACAACCAGGCCTTTGAATCATATCATGGCAACTAGGAAGAGTGGTGATGGTGGTGATGCAGTGACGTTGGAGCAGACACCCATCATGGAGTCTTCACGTTATGGCGAAGAGTTCACGACACGTTTCCGTCCTCAGGCGGCTCCTTCCAAAGCCCCGACGAGGGGGAATGTTTCAAGATTCGCCTTTGGCGTCGCAAGACATACGCTGGGGATGGGCTTGCTTCTGGTGGTCGTCGTGCTCTGGACGAGTTCGAACTTCCTTGCCAGTGTATGTATTAAGAAAAATCACTGCTGATTGATCTGTCTACTGCTAGTTCCTATACACTGACCAGACCCGTTTCGATTCCGCAGACAATATTGGCAGATGACACCTACTCGAAGCCCTTCTTTGTTACATACATAAACACTTCGTTCTTTATCACATTCCTTGTTATCGTCATCGCACGGCGTCTCTTTCGTCTCTGGCGCCATGGAAAGCTCGCGCAGGTCAGATCCTGGCGGACATTGCTGGTCTATCTCGACTCGCATGGCATGAAGGATGGTTTGCTCTACAGAGACATATCAGAAGAAGACGATTATGGCGGTGGACACGGTGAAAATAATATGCAACGCCAGAGGTTGCTTTACAATGATGCGGGGGAATCGCCGGACGTGCCTCCCGTTGTGGCCGACCAAACTGGAATAACCCCCGGGGGAAGGCTGGGACTGAGGGCGACGGCCAGATTAAGCGTTCAGTTCTGCATGCTGTGGTTTCTGGCGAATTATTTCGCCATCGCCTGTCTTCAATACACGAATGTCGGAAGCACCACCATTTTGACCTCGACAAGTGGCGTCTGGACTCTCATTTTCGGTGCTGTGATCGGCGTGGAGAAATTCACCGTTCGCAAATTCTTCGGCGTCATCGCCTCCCTCGTAGGAGTGATCCTGATCTCGCGTGTGGACATGTCGTCGCCTGATGAATCGACCACACCGAACAATGCTAGTGGTGATAATGGTCAGGGTTCGTTCCCGCACAAGACCACGGCGGAAATCGCATTGGGTGATGCTATGGCGGCATTCAGTGCCATCGTGTACGGCATCTATACGATTGTGATGAAGAAGCAAGTGGGCGATGAATCGCGGGTCAACATGCAGCTGTTTTTTGGGCTTGTGGGGTTTTTTAATGTATTCCTTCTATGGCCGGGGTTTATCATTCTCCATCTTCTGGGAATTGAGGAGTTTGGGTTGCCGCCGACCAGCAGAGTATGGACCATTATTCTGGTGCGTCCTCCTCGCCCTCTGCTCATTCTCACTCCCCCTTATCCTTCTCAGTTGAAATCTCTGCTGACTCGTGCTGAATCAGGTCAACTCCCTTTCGTCTCTTATATCTGACATATGCTGGGCCTACGCGATGCTGCTGACCACCCCACTCGTCGTCACGGTCGGCTTGAGCCTAACCATCCCTCTCTCGCTCGTGGGGCAGATCATCCTACAAGGCCGGTACGCGAGCGTGTTGTACTGGATCGGTGCCGTCATCGTCTTCCTATCGTTTTTGATCGTCAACCACGAGAGCAAAGAACATGACGAGAACCGTGCCCCTTCTCTAACAAGTCCTGTTGATCTCGAACCGAGGGATCCCGATAATCCTATCGTCCCTGATGAAGAAGTTGCTGCTGCTGCTGCTGCTGCAACATCAGCACAACATCACCAGCGACATCAGCAGTAGAGGACAAAAGATAATAGCTAGATTAGATCATTACATGGCCTGCGTATTAGAATTGCCTCTGTCTATGTATCTGTCTATCTATCTATTTATCTATCTATCTACATTTAGACTCTTGTTGTCTTGGCCGTTGCCGTTGTCGTTGTCGTCATAGTCTTCATCTCATATTTGTCTTTTTTTTTTGGTCGTCTATTTATCGTCTACATTGCTTCATTTACCCTTGCTGTATCTGTATTCCTGGCTGCGTTAGAATGGAAACATATTGCCTTATCTTTTTCTAATTTTCTTCTTTAAGTATCTCTTTTTTGTCTCTTTAGCTGTCTGTGTTGTCTGCATAGGGCGTCGAAGAAAAATATATATACTAGGCAAGGACAAAAAAGTTGAAAGATAGATGGCAGAAAAATAAACACAATCAACTCATTTATTTACTAGTTGTGATTATTGACAGGAAGATATAAAAAAAAAGAGAGAGATTATAACTGTCGTGAGTGGTGACTTGACTCGTAGAACTGGAATTGTTAATCTATTAATCAAGGCAAATAAAATCAAATGGTCAAACGAATGATGTGCAATAATGGTAAGTAAGTTCAGTGTACTTATTTACTAGTAGCATCATGATAGCATGATGACTATGATGCTAATGCTATATACTATGCTGCAAAAGGTAACAAAAAACATCAAAGCCGGATATCATCATAAATCAGAAGAGGCTCCCAATAATGACAAACAGTTATGTACGGAGTATGTAATGTCAAGGGTATACAGTACAAGGTACTACAAGACAGACAGACAGACCAAATGCCAACATACTAACTACTCGAATCTGAACCTGAATCTGAATTCATCAGTGAAGAGGCTGAAAAGCGCTGGGACCGCTGGGTGCTGCTGCTGTTGATGTTGTTGCTGTTGTTGCGGTTGCTGCTTTTTCTTTTCTTTCTCTTTCTCCCTCTCCCTTCCTTTCCTTTTCTATTGCCCTTTTCCTCGCGACGATGACGCTCTTCAACGCGCCGAGCCATTTGGCCAGGCTCTCTTCGTCTGGAGCGCAGAAGCGATAGATCGGCCGGTCCTCGGTGATGACCTGCAGACAGCAGGTCTTTGACCGCGAGATGGGGTCAATCTCGGCAGCGTTGATCACTTGCGACATGGGGATGATCTTGATGGCGCAGTATTCCTGGAAAAAAAAGTCAACGGGTTAGCCTGAAGCAGGGCAGAGAATGAGGATGGGAAGAGGAAGGGATTTAAGCATACCCTATCATCCTTGTACAAAGCAAGGCTTATCGGTCGTAACACGACCCAAACCTTCTTCCACTGCCGCACGCCGTGCTTGCTGCGTAGGCACTGCAGGTACCCGTGACAGATTACTCTTTCCGGATCGACATTTGCTCCCGGATCACCGGCACGAGCCACATCACTGGATCGCTTGTTCTTGTCGCCGTGGGGCTTATCTCCTTTCGGTAATGAGGTCACTGAGCGCTGCTGCTGTGTGCTGCTGCCCGGAGCATCGGATAGATCAGAATACTCGGTAATCTCATTCCCGGAGTAATCTTGGGCAAAGGGTAGATTCCTGCCGCCCCGACCGAGAGAGACCGTACGGACCAGTTCTGGTGAACTGGACGTGATATCGCGATCGACGTCACCGACGTCGGAGTGATCGCTCAGCTGGTCATCCCCATCACTGGTTATCCCGTAATTTCTGCTGGACAGGGCCCTGGACTGGGCGAACAGGGCCTCTTCTTCCTCGTCGATGCACAGTTCACTGCGAATCCGCTCAATCCAATCGTTCGCGTCCTGCTCCGACAGCGCCTGAAAGCGATAATTCTTCGAGGGAGAGAAAACTCCAAAGACGTGGTCCCGGTGCGATCGAGGAGAATGAACGGCTGCGACCGCCGTAACCTCCGTGAGAGTAATGGACAAGCGGAGTCTCGCTTCGTCTTCATCTTTGTAGACGGACAACAGGTTTGGTCGAAGGACGAGGTAGACCGGCTTCCATGAAGCTTTGAACGCCTAAAAGAATGAGCGCAAGTTAGGCGCAGCTCGTCTTTATTTGCGGAATGGTAAAAGGGGACACTAACATGTTTGCTCTTCATCCGACAGTACACCTTTCCCCGCTTTAGAACGCGGTCGAACTCGAAACTGCCATTCTCGTTGACGGGTGAGAACGTGTCCAGGTTGAGATGTCCATTGCGAAAGTTCGGGGATGGCCCATGCGACGGTCCTGATGCGCTCAATGGCCGCACATTCCGGTCGGGAGGTTGAATTGGCTTTGTGGTCGGCCGCTCGGCGGCAGAAGAGACGGAGGCAGGAAGGCTTTGTTGTGCCATCTTTGAGGTAAAAGGTCTCGTGCCTCGACGCGAACGGGACGGAGATCGCGCACCGCGACAAGATGGTAGGATAACACGGGTGTGGGATAATAATTACTAGCGCGAAATTCAGCGACTGTCGAAGTTATCCATTATTCTATGGCGGAGACCAGCACAGAAAAGCAGACGTAGGTAGACACAGGGCGTTTTCAGGGGACGATAGGAAAAGGGGGTCTGGTTGATCAAGGAGGTGGTATCGATTCGCTAGTTTGTATCATAGTATGAGCCCCGATATGTCGGAGGCAGCGGCCAACACTGTCTGTCGCAAATGGTCTCCATAGACAGAGTGCACAGAGCAGACGACCTGGTTGATATTCTTCCAGGCTTCTGGCTCCCTTTGTGCTGCAGGTGGCGATGGATGATGGCAAGCAAGCCAGTTACTTTCAAGCCAGGCAGTTGTGTCTCATGAGGGGCACAGCAAGAGAAACAACAGGCCGGACGCGGCGGGTCGGCGAGTCCAGCGTGGCTGTGGAGAGGGTCATCTACCGAGTGGTGCCTGGGGACAGCGATGTCTACTGAGAATGACTGGCTCAGAGAAGTCCATCAACTCTGCGACAGCCAGTGAGGATGCCAGTTCTGTGCCTGCAGGCGGTTGGCGTTCCAAATTCTCGGTGTGGATCGGCATTTCTGCTTAATAATTATTATTTTGGAGAGCAGTGGTCAGGCCTGGTGCTTGATCTCACCAGCATGCAAATCTAGCGCTGTGCACTGATGATCGCCTTGCTGTTCTGGTCGTCCTCTCCAGATCCTTCGTTTGCAGGGTTCCTCGAGGATATCAGATACCGATCCATGGCTCCCGCAGAATCCCCCCCGGCTCCTCCCTTACGCTCGAGTCAAGTTGATCCTATTCTTAGCAGCCACGACCACTCGAATTTTTACTTGCCCCACCTCGATCAGTGGTTGTGTCTGTTCTAGAAGGCCACGATGCTCCCAATAGGTATTACGTGCACATCTGATCTGGACATGAAGTGCGTGATGGGCATTGCCAGATAGAAAATTCCGGGTGAACTGAGGACCCTATGCCAAATCAAAGTATGCTGAAATTTCCGTTAAGCAGGAAGCAGCGTCCACCCCTCCTTGACCATGTTAACTCTTCCGAGATTCCAAAGTTTGATACTAGGTGGTCAGTTGTAATTTAAAAAGGAATCCTCTTCATCGTCAACTTGCCTGGATGAACAAAGCTCTGATTACTCCGATATGTCGCAGCAGGATCCAAAATAACACCAGTATGCAAGATTAATCTTTTCTCGTAGAAAAGAGATTGACAGATAAATGAACTTAGTCCGAACAGAGAGAATCTGAGATGCTAATCTGTTGATCGTCCCGACACAAATACTTCCGCTGCATTCTAACCAAGTACAGTACAGTGGGTGATCAAGCCAACGCGGGAATACAATCAATTATTTGGCTGCTTCAATTGAACTACGTAGTACTCTGCACGATTTTTGTTTGGTACCACTACCGAAATATCTCCCGAAAAATCACGAAAATGCTTTCAGGGTTCTGTAGGAGGCCTATCAGCTGGCCTGGACTGTACGGAGTATACTCCGTCGGAGTTCAGGCCCACCACTGGCCAGAAGCGGACACGTGCCGACTGATCGTGACTCTGCTGGATGTTGGAAATTCGGCCACAGGCCGTGCAGTCGCAATGTATCGAACTGTACGACGGCTACTCGCATGCTGTATTCTGCAGAATCACCTGTCCTCTGGTAGCAGTTTTCCAGTATTATGGTACAGTACCGAGTACATGAGCCTGATCTGCATGATCCAGATCCAAGTCGGAGTCTGGGCTGGTATGACGGATCTGCTTGATCTCATGACTGAAACCAGCCACTGCACTCCGTAACGGGATATAGTACCCTTCGAGGATGACTCTGTCTGCTCACAGAATAAAGAGATTCCTGCACGGTACTTTACTACTACCTGTCAAATACAGAGTACTCTGTACAGATCTCCAGATACTCCAACATCAGGGGCTCCTGATCGTGTTACCCCGTACTAACGCAGGTGGCAATCGTAGGCGTAATTTAAATTAACCTTGAAGCCCTTTCTCCAGTCTTTGTCCTTCCTGGGGCGCGCCTCCGATCTCACTGATTCGTCGTTAAATTACGGCGCCGTAATGGTACAGAGGGCCCTGTGCTGAGGCCGCGAGCAGTCATGAACATCGAAGAGCAAGGAGTTGTCCCTCGAAGAACCGTCTGTCGGTAACAATTGCTCTCAGGACTCGACGGCTTTGAGACCGTACCTGTAATTACGGGCAGGCGACCCCCGTGCTCACCGAAATTGGGGCCCCCTGCGCGGCCGTGACGGTACGGTACAGCTTGCCGTCTGTCGCCTAGCCTGTCTCGCTTGCGCATCCCTGGGGCTTGGCAGAGGCTCTGGACGCTGTCACGCCCTCGCCCAGGTCAGCGTGCAACCTCCGTTCATTTGCTTTTCGTCCACCTAGCCTCACCCTTTGCAACACCTCATCGCATCCCATTCTCACCCCCTTCATCCTCGTCTTCCCCGCTGATGAGCTCGTCCACTCTCCCCTGCAAGTCGTAGTCGACTCCTTTGCTGCTCTCTCGCCTGCATTGGATCGATCGTTTCCTCCTCGTTGTCGACCGAAGAGGAAGTCGGGGAGAAAGGAGGCATTCCCTCCAGCCGCTCGTTACACCATCCACCTTCCACCCTCGTCCCCGTCCTTTTCTCGTCTCCCACGCCCATAGCCCTCGGGGCTCTTTCTCGCATCGTCCGCCATCAGTCCTCTCAGTCTATTCGCCCGGCAGCGGCACCTTTGGACGGTTGGACGGTCGGTTTTCTGGGTAGAGTTCCCTCTTCTCTCGCTCTCCCTCTCACCATCGTCGCGGGGCGACCGAGGTCCCGTTTTCGATCCTGACGAAGTGACTTCTTAATCCCACACCTCCGCAGCTATGAGTATCATTCAACGGATTATAAAGCGCCTACCCTCATCGCCCACGCTACCGTCGGTGGAAGACCATGCGCGCGAAAAGGGCCAAGTCATGCCGAGGTTCGCCTTTTTCAGGCGGCGGATACGGTTAAAGGGCAATTCCTCCATTTCAATACCGCTGGGTTTTGTTTTACTATTTCCATGTCTTGTAATCATCCTAATACTTCTTCTGTTCGTGAGGCATCCTTCCTCGCCAGGTCGGATGCTCATCCCAGCGGGCGCACCTCCCGCGATCAGGTTCGCAAATACCTCCCTGATCTTCCAAAATGCCGGCAGCGCTAACGCAGGTTGACTCGGTGAATAGAAAAATCAGTGAGGAGCATGATAAGGTCTTCGCTACCGGTTGCTTGAACATCGACACGTCTGGTCCCCGAGCCAACGCGGCTTTCGTTGTCCTTGCGCGGAATAAGGAACTCGAGGGCGTCGTTCAGTCTCTCAAGTCCATCGAGAGACACTTTAACCGATGGTGGCACTACCCTTATGTGTTCTTGAATGACGGAGACTTCGATCAAGAGTTCAAGGACACGGTCGTCAACTACACCAGTGCTCCCGTGGAGTTTGGCAAGATCGACAGCAGCATGTGGGGCTTCCCCGACTGGGTGGACAAGGAAGTCGCCAAGGAAGGGATTAGAAAGCAAGGCGACGCTGCGATTATGTATGGAGGACTGGAGAGTTATCACCACATGTGCCGATTCTACTCCGGGTAAGACCAATCCCCGATCGGATGGGAAGGGACCATCGTCGCTGACATTAGTTACAGATTCTTCTACAAGCACCCATTGCTGCTGAAATACGAGTGGTACTGGCGACTGGAGCCGGATATCAAGTACTTCTGCGATATCACTTAGTACGTATTCTGTTTCCCTCCGATGCCTCTCCTCATTTTCTGACCCCTCAACCCAGTGATCCTTTCATCAAAATGCAAGAGCACAACAAGACCTACGGTTTCACCATTGCTGTCAAGGAGCTCCGCGAAACGGTTCCCAACATTTTCCGGTATGCCTCTGCGTACAAGCGGAAGAAGGGACTCAAGTCGAAAGGTTTGTGGGAAATGTTCCTCGAGGAGCCTTACAAGGAGGAAAAGACCGACGACGCTCCGAAGGATGACAAACTTCCAGAGGAAGCTCTCCCTGAGGGCATCCCGGAAGTTGATCCAGAAGCCATGGAAGGAGAAAAGTATAATATGTGCCACTTCTGGAGTAACTTTGAGATTGCTCGTCTGGACTTCTTCCGCAGCAAGGAATACGAGGAATTCTTCGAAATGATGGACAGGAGCGGAGGCTTCTGGATGGAACGGGTAAGTGACCTCTCCCATAGCAGAATGAGTTCCCTGAAGCTTACTCTATGATCCAGTGGGGTGATGCTCCCATCCACTCCCTTGCTGCCGGAGCTCTTCTTTCTCCCAAGGATATCCATTACTTCCGTGACTTTGGATACCGGCATACTACCATCCAACACTGCCCAGCGAACGCACCGGCGCGGCAGCTGCCTCGCATACCTTACCTGGAGATGACGACAGAAGACGAGAAGAAGAGGATTGAAGAAGACGAGTACTGGGCAACTCCGGACCCCGTCAAAGAGAACGGGGTTGGCTGCCGATGCAAGTGTGATACCGACATTGTCGATGTTGAGGGCAAACAGGGCAGTTGCCTCGCCGAATGGGTCCAAGTCGCTGGAGGCTGGGCATCTCCTTAGGGGAGGCAAAAGACACAAAGCCCGTCCTTCCGTTTCTTTTCGTTGTATCCATTTCGCCACCTTGTTCCAATACCTGTTTGTTGGACGTTGAGTATCGCTTGGGTCTCTCGTGGAGTTAGTTGCTCGGGCTCGCATGACCTTTTCTCTTTTTTTTTCCGTTCGACCGGGGGGTTCTTCCGGATGGCGTTTGCGGATCAGAGGGCTTCCTGTTTTGGAAGTCAATTGTGTCACCATTCTTATTGATATTGCCTAAATAACCATATAGCGTGCTGTTTGTACGTTTCGTTTGGATTGCTATTACCAAGTGTCCTGTCGCCTCGCTGTTCTGCTTTTGGAGGGAGGAGTAATGTCGGTTTACGGATTCGAGCTATAGACGGCGTGAAGATGAGATGGCTACAGTCGGCAGCCAAGGTTTCCGTTTACATACTCTACTATCACGTCGGAGGGAACAGGTGAGGCGATTTTTCACACTCGGGCCGTGGAGTTGCCTCGAAACGTTCCCGACCGCTATACACATTATACACGTTATCGGCTGTTGCGACGACGCGGTTTTATTTTTGAACAAAGCGCCCTGGGTTGTCCTTTAGCCTGCCGCACGGCGTGACCGGTCAATCCAAAGGACACCCTCGAACAAGTGGGAGACGGTGGGGGTGAGAAAGGGAGAGGCCAGCGTTGCGACAGGACCGGAATTATCTTCTCTCATTGACTAATGCCTTATTGCCAAAAAGACTGCTTCCCTCCTTTTTTATTATAACCCCGCCTTTATGTTATCTACTATTCCCCCGTTTCTATCACCGTGATCAGTTTATCCCCCATGAGATGTACATATTTTTCATGCTGTGAACACGCGCTTTCCAAACACACCAATCCTGACGACGCAAATAGCAGTATGACTGTCTATAGAGTACGGAATAATCTATTATTCCTGTTACGGATATTGATTTCCACATCTTTTGCGCTTGTAATGGCAATTTTTAGTTTCAAAACTGGTACCAGTTAGATATATTTACTCGGGTGGACTTCATCCTATTTGTTTTGTCTCTCCAGATACGAGAGAAGGTGATTTTATGCGTTTCTGTTATTAGTATTTTATTATCGTATCTTATCGATGTTTTCCATTATCTGTGGCCATGCTAATTGGAAGTTTGTTTGGCAGTTAGTGTCGCAGTTATCAGATGTTTCGAACGGCTTTTGTATCGGGTCGTACGGACTGCCCCATATCTCCCTCCACCCGACGGGGTTCTAACAATATCGGATTAGTCGCTGTAAGTCACGAAGAATAATCGTTTTCTACCTGAAAGGTACACGTGAATTAGGTAGTAGCTAATCGACTGATGACGAATGAACTCTTATCTGCACAGTACATCTGTCGACACACTCGTTGTCTGAAGGGTAGGAAGATACCTACCCAGGTAAAGGTAAGATACTTTCGAATTGACTGCGATGCAGGACATCCAGATAGACAGGCAATCTGGATTCGACCCCGCACATTTCCTTCTCTGTTCCGTCCTTTATTAGTCCCAGCTAATCAAAACTGCCTGAGCTAGAACGAACCAAGATAAGAACCGCAGCCTGCGAAATGAATAATACTAAATCCTAACTAATTCACCGTCAATATCATAGGTGGATACGGCGATGGTTTTCCTCCTTCCGGTTTGGGCCAGTGTCACCTTGGCGAGATAAGCAAGACAAAACATGCTCGATCGAGGATTGTCATCGCAATCCTTTCTTTTTATGAGCCCATCTGTTGCTCGGCGTCGTTCTTGCCATCCTTACACTCTGCCTATCCCGCAAGGATACAGAGAATTGTTCTGGAATTGGACCCGCCTTTCGTCCATCATACAAAATGTCCAAAGAACAGGAGGAACCAGAACCCAAGACTGCGGCAGTGGCGGGTGATGCAGAAGTTGAGCACGGGCGGACGGACGAGCTGGAGATCGACCTGGCGACCGTCTTGAAGGAGGAAAATGAGTACTCCTATGAATCAGATCGATCTCCATTTCCAGAAGGCATGCCTCCATGCTTCCTTCAAAGAGAAATCTCCGCTAATTGGTATAAATTTGACAGTTCGAGCGGTGGTCCGTGAGGTTGATGACCCTGGCATGCCCGTCAACACGCTCCGTATGTGGCTTCTGGGTACCATTTTTACGTTGGTCGGCTCTGGGATCAATCAATTCTTTTCCCTCCGATATCCCTCCGTGCATATTGTAGCCCTGGTCGCAGAATTGCTGGCGTACCCTTGTGGTGTACTTCTAGCAAAGACACTCCCTCTGTGGACCGTCAATCTGGGACCTCTTGGTCGTTGGTGCATCAACCCAGATCGGTCCTTCAACATTAAGGAACATGCAGTGATCGTGATCATGAGCAACGTATCGTTCGGCTATTACAGTGCCGACTCGACGAACATCATCCAAGCTGCTTCCTCCAAGTTCTACAACTTTGGCCTCAAGGCCGGGTTCTATGTCATGGTCGTGCTTTGCGCGCAGCTTCTTGGCTTTGGTGTCGCTGGGCTATCGGCCCCATGGATTGTCGAGCCAGCCAGTATCATCTGGCCTGGAGTGCTGTCAAACTGTGCGCTGCTCGAATCCTTACATTCCCGCGCGAATGCTGTTGCCAATGGATGGAAGATTTCCCGTTTGCGATTTTTCTTCTATGTCATGGCGGGTGCATTCGTCTGGTACTGGTTTCCCGGCCTGATCTTCACCGCACTCAGCTATTTCACCTGGGTCTGCTGGATCGCACCGAACAATCGGGTTGTGAACCATCTATTCGGCATGCAAACTGGGCTGGGGCTCAGTCCCATCACCTTCGATTGGAGTCAGATCGCGTTCAATACCAATCCTCTTCTGTCTCCTTCTTGGGCCGCGATCAACGTCTTCGTAGGCTTTGTCATCTTTTTCTGGATTGTGACGCCTGCGATCTATTACACGAATACGTGGTACACGGCCTACCTCCCTCTCATGACCGCTGACGTCTACGACCGATTTGGGGCAGTCTATAACACGTCCAGGGTGGTGGGCCCCGATAATACATTGGACATCGAAGCCTACAAGGCCTATTCACCTCCATATCTTCCTGCAACATTTGCTTTCGTGTACGGGCTGTCATTCGCCTCCATTACTGCCGTTCTCACCCACGTGTGTGTTTGGCATTCCAAAGAGATCTGGGCAGCCCTCCAAGGTCGGTCCAAACCGGATATCCATGCGCGTCTGATGAGAGCATACAAGCGTACCCCGTGGTACTGGTACATGGCGATCATCGTCATCATCACCGCTATGGCAATTGCGATGGTGGAAGTGTACGAAACAAAGCTGCCCGTGTACGGCGTATTCTTGGCCCTGATCATCCCTGCCGTGTACATGATCCCCTGTGGAATCATCGAGGGCATCACCAACGTGAACGCTAACCAAATCAACGTTCTCAGCGAGTTCATCGGGGGTTACATGTTCCCTGGGAAACCTCTAGCCAATATGGTCTTCAAGATTCTATCGCAGGACGTGGTGGGCCAGGGGATCTATTTTGCTATGGACATGAAACTGGGGCATTACCTCAAGGTCCCACCGCGGACGCTCTTCTTCGCGCAGGGCTTTGCTACGATCCTGGGAGCCTTGACCCAGGCAGGAGTGACCATCTGGATGCTGGGCAATGTCAGCGATATCTGTGATCCAGATCAGTCGGATGGGTTCAGCTGCCCGAACGGGCGGACTGTATACAGCAGCAGCGTAATCTGGGGTCTGGTCGGACCCGGCCGTTTGTATTCGGTGGGAAAGATCTACTCGTCCTTGAACCATTTCTTCTGGATCGGCGCCATCATGCCCGTCATCACATGGTTGCTATACAAATACACAAAGAACACATTCTGGAAGAAAATTAACTGGCCCCTGATCTTTGTTGGAACTTGGAACGTACCTCCAGGTAAGAACAAAAGCCCATTCTCCCGTCGTCTACAAAGCTCTCTTTGCTATGCCTGGAGCTCTCAGAAGTGCGCTAATCTGTGACCATTCATTCAGCGACCGGGATCAATTACTCGAGCTGGGCCATCGTCAACTTCATCTTCAACCACTGGCTCAGGAAGAAGTTTTTCGCGTGGTGGTCCAAGTACAACTATGTTCTGGCGGCCGCCCTGGACACGGGCCTGGCGCTCAGCGGTATCATTATCTTCTTTTGCGTTAGCTATCCTGGCGCCGTCTTTCCAAACTGGTGGGGGAATACCGTCTATCTCAATACAGCTGACGCCCAGGGAGTGCCATGGAAGGATATGCCTCCAGAGGGGTACTTCGGGCCGCCTAATGGGACTTGGTCATAGCACTGCAACTGAAGAGAGCAACCAGTGTGCAATTGAAAACCTTGATGGTATTATAGTCCATCCATTTAATGCACGGCTGCTTGGTAGAGTTAAGAGACGAAGCATTCCGTACTCTGTAGATAAGCTCCTTGCGGGGAAAGCCTCCAAGCGACTATCTAATCTCGGACCGCGCCGTTATCGTCGAACCACCTGCCTTGTTTGGTGCTGATCGCCGTCTTCCTAACTCGAAAACGATAGCTTATTTCGGTCCACTGCCTGGGAGCTAGAACGGTCTTGTGCTCGAGTGCAACCCAAGAGAGGCCCTGCAATGGTAGGTCAATGGCCACGCTTGCGACGGTAGGATCGAGCTTGGCGGACAGCTCTCTATTTTATCACCATCATGCTTCCTCCCAGAAGCATGTACTGACGTCCGGATGTGAAATTCTCCGTAATTCTTTTTCTCGCCATGATCGTCCTAACGGTGCTGTTTAGCATCTTGTCGCAGCCGGCCGCAGCGTTCAACAACCCTCCCGGAGTGGAGACGTGGTGCGGAAAGGCCTATCTACCAACGTACGTCCGCATTGCTCAGTCAAAACAAACTCAAGACTGACCGAATGCCTCTCCTATATATAGGAATGCGTCGTTCCCGCCGGGAGGCTGGCTGGACGAGCCAGCCCCGTCCTCTGAGCCTCTCCTGGACCTGCGCATCCGTCCGCGCATGAATCTCTACACGGCAGATGACCAATGGGGCTCGTTCATCGTGGACGCTGGCCTGTCGTTCTTCCATGGGCAGCCATACTACAACAGCACCTACGACCAGGGCAACAATGGCTACAAGCCCTTTGACACGCTGTTCATCGATATCGCCGACGCGGACACGGGACTCGCGCTCGTGTCGGGAGCCAACGTGAGCGTGAACTCTACGGCGAACGAGTTTACCTTCTCTCTTGCAGGTCTGCGTCCGCAGTTTGAGCCGTATAACATCTCCATCACAGGCGCCTCTCAGGACGGCAACCAATCCTACGTTGCCCAAACACAGCTCTACCGCCTCCCTTCGCGGACGGACGGCGGCAGCGTCACCAAGCTGGACAGTCTCTACGGGGGCTTGCTGGTCCAAGACTCTACGGCCGCAAATTCATCCGCTTCGTGGACACCGTTGTTGCCATACTCCTTCTACGTCATCTGGGATGGTTATTTAAACAATTCGTTGGAGAATATACAGAAGTTTAAGGATCAGGGTTATAATATCGTGCATGTAGTACCCGACGGCAACCTGCCTAACCAGGCGTTCAACTTCACCCAGTTCAACCAATTTCTCGATATATGCGACGAGATTGGGTTGTGGGTTATGTACGATATGCGCTACACGTATCTCAACCTGACGTCTGTCGAGGAGCAAGTGAACATGATCAAGGCCCGGAAGAGCCTGCTGCTGTGGTACACGGGCGACGAGCCGGATGGGCATGGCGATCCGCTCAATGCCACCAGACTGGCGTACGACTTGATCAAGTCGTTGGATCCATGGCATCCGGTGTCGCTCTGTCTGAACTGCTACAACTTCTACTATGCCGATTACTCCTCCGGTGCGGACATCGTGCTGTCGGATGTCTACCCCATCGCCGTCAATACAACCTGGTCTGTCCAATATCACACGGTATGCAACACCACGTACGGATGCTGTGGCTGCGACGACTGCAAGGGCGACTTTGAAGACATCTCGACGCGTCTCGATCTGTTCACCCAGTACCAGGACTGGATTGGAGGCCCGCCCAAGACCCTCTGGGGCGTCCCGCAGGCCTTTGGGGGTGGAGAGTTCTGGGCGCGGAATCCAACGCCGGACGAGGAAGTGACGATGAACCTGCTCAGCATCAACCACAACGCGAAGGGGATCGTCATGTGGAGCTACCCGACGGAGCCGGATCTCGAGGACGTGACCAGCTCGCTGAGCAAGGTCCTTGCTGCGCCGAACGTGACAAGCTTTCTTCTAGGAGCCCCCACCACCGCGTTGAAGACGGCAGGTGCAGATCGAATCGACGCTGCCGGGTGGCAGGTCGGAAAGCAGATGCTCGTCAGCATTTTGTATCTGGAGTACATCGATTCCGATTCTCAGGTCACGATCTCTTTGCCCACGCCGGCCAGCTCAGTCACCCAAGTTTTGTGGGGTACTGGCTGGACTGTGTCAGGGGGCAATCTCGTGAAGAATGGCCTGAAGGGTCTAGAAGCAGATTTACTCATTGTGGGATTGGAGTAATCTAGTCATATACATGCTTAGTTTACTTGGCTAATATCTGTGGCTATCAATAAATCTGTTTTCCGGAACTTTAATTCTACTTTATCAATTAGCCTAAAATCATTTAGACATATGCTTTTTTTCCCCTCATGCAATGCCTATAACCTTTCCCCGCAGCAAAGCCAAGCACTATCAACAATATCCCCGATTCTCCGCGATAATACATACCAAAAATGAAAACGGCATTTTAGCCAATTGACGATCTACCCTACTAAACGTTAATTGGCTACCTACATAAGTACCTGGCCACATAATTTAGCCAGTCGCTGTAAACTACCTAGGTATACTAGGTACGTCTACCTGGAGTGGAGTGATGGGCTTTTTTTTTCAAGGGGGACATCTGACTAACCTTTAGGTCAACGACCTAGCTAGGCAGTGAGGTACGTTAAGCGGGGAACCGGGTGTAACGCGAATCCGGGGAAGCCTCCGTGGACATGGATATAGCTTGTACAGTACAGCTGTGGAGATATCCCGCATATTTTTTTAAAGATTAATTACAACAGCCGTACATATACGTCTTCATCCGCTCGTCCGGAAGAGCTAGCTAGGTTACATTTCTGCTTTTCCAGTGGGGACTGTCAAATATGTCTTTGGTAGGGGAAAAAAAAAACAAAGCTCTTTCTCTCCCGAGTTCCCTACATATAAGGATGCAGTGCAACCGGCGATCTCTTCCATTCTAAATCACGGCAATTCTCTGCACTTCCCAGGTAGGAAGCATCTCTGACAATTATTTGCCCTTCCTTCTAAGAGAAAGGGAGAGAGAGAACAAAAAAATTCATCATGGCACGCTTTTCAATTCTTTCTGCTATCTATCTCTATATCCTTTTGGTCGGTTCCTGTCTTGCCCAGGTGCCTCGTGGCTCGCTTCAGCAGGTCACCAATTTCGGGTCCAATCCGACCAATGTGGGCATGTACATTTATGTGCCAAACAATCTGGCTGCGAAACCGGGGATAGTCGTGGCCATTCATTACTGTAAGCAGTGTTTCCCAAAAGAGCCTTCCTTCCAATTGTCTGTATAACTAATGTATATCTCCATGATGGTTACAGGCACTGGTTCCGCGCAGGCATACTATTCTGGCACCCCGTACGCACAGTTGGCAGAGCAGTATGGCTTCATCGTCATCTACCCGAGCAGCCCATACAGCGGCACCTGCTGGGATGTCAGCTCGCAGGCAGCCCTCACCCACAACGGCGGTGGAGACAGCAACTCGATTGCCAATATGGTCACCTGGACGATCCAGCAATATAACGCGGACACGAGCAAGGTCTTTGTGACAGGGAGCAGCTCTGGAGCGATGATGACGGTGCGTAACTACTATAGCCCAGCTAGCCAAGTCACTGATTCTCTCTAACTCGATGTCTTTAAAAACTGCTACAGAACGTCATGGCAGCCACCTACCCCGAGCTCTTCGCTGCAGCCACCGTCTACTCGGGCGTTGCGGCAGGATGCTTCGTTTCGTCCACGAACCAGGTCGACGCATGGAACAGCAGCTGCGCCTTGGGCCAGGTCGTCAACACGCCGCAGGTATGGGCCCAGGTGGCCGAAAACATGTACCCGGGCTACAACGGGCCCCGACCCCGGATGCAGATCTACCACGGCAGCGCCGACACGACGCTCTACCCGCAGAACTACTACGAGGAGTGCAAGCAGTGGGCCGGCGTCTTTGGCTACGACTACAACAACCCCCAGCAGGTTGAGCAGAACACGCCCGAGGCCAACTATCAGACCACGATCTGGGGCCCGAACCTGCAGGGGATCTACGCTACGGGAGTTGGCCATACGGTTCCTATCCATGGTCAGCAGGACATGGAGTGGTTTGGGTTTGCGTAGTTGGGGATGTCGTGTCCAATGCAAGCATGCGCATGTACAGAGGAGTTGACTTATTTTGGAAATTTGAATAGCAGTCTCCATGTACACACATACACAGTACATACATACATGTCATCAAGATAAATATTTTAGTTGCGATCAGACCAAGGAACTTTTTTTTGCTCAATAATTGTAGAAAATAAACAAGTGAAAACAATAATTCAAAAGCAATAAATGAACGAAAAATAAATAAGAACTCAGAGAAAATAGTAACCATAGAGAAGGATTGATATACTCGTACACTCGTTCTGCTATCAGTCTTGGCGGAGTGGAACTCGGAGCTGCAACATACGTCATCCGTTGGAGCTAGCCCGATCCAGCGATTACGTACCCACTCGGCCGTTGATATCGTTCCATCAGCTCAGGCAGTTTATCAGGTGATAGTTTCTTAATAATGATTAGCATTCTCAGGTCAGGAGAGCCTCTGCAAGGTACTGTATGCAGCAGAGCAGCTGACAGTAGTCATGGCAGCATCCTCAGGTGACGACTGCTGGACTACCAGGTGTGACAACCACACAAGGAGGTTCGGAGCTAACCCCGTTGGGACAGCGGGAGATTGACGCTGTTATCGCTGGCCCAGAGGACAGATACGTCTCTGCCCATATTGAGAATCTGTCTTGTAAATTGCAGCAGATTAGACTGTAAATTAGAGAGCTATGAACCAGCTGATAAAACGGTCCCATGTCTCATCAGAGCGAGGGCGCTCAGCCGGTCTCGGTCTCTGGAATAAATAGATGCTCGTGGACGGACTACGTTGGCTGCCTGCTGTCCCTGTCATGTGCCCCGCCCAGTTCCGCCCAGCTATCCAGCTCGTATCATGTTGACATCGTCATCCATCACTTGCATCAGCCCGATCCAACTCGGGGCCTGTCCTGCCTGCTGAATTCCGGACTTTTGCTTCGTCCATCACCTGAGATTAAGCAACTCCCAATATAACCAGCTCGCTTGATCCCACCCGAGGCCCTTCACTTGTCCGGACCACCATCCGACCCCCGTCAACTGGGTCCAGGAACGGACCCCCGCCGTCTAGTCATAAGTCATTGGGCACCGGCCATCATCGACCCCTCCGTCGCTCGTGGTGCCTGTTAGGCAGAGAGGACACGACCAAGTACAGTCCACGATTTTCTTCTGCTCCCTGGAATGACATGGCATATTCTTAACCTCTCCTTCTCTCTCCCTTCTAGCTCTCCATATATGCTTGTCGTCCACATCCTCTTGACCTTGCTTGCAACGTGACCGACAGCTAGATCATCGTTGCTTCTGAACCTCCAACCCATTTCCCATGACACTGCCATCTCTCCCAAGAAGACATCATGGCTGACGCTCCAGAGCCAGAAAACTACAGAGGTCCATCTAATCCTGCCATCCCTCCCCGCCTCCGATATCCAACCTTTCCTCCGCTCAGCCAATCTGTAGAGGAGTGGTTGTCACAGTCTCGACCTGCAGAGATGGCAGCCAGCAGTCCCCAGCTGGAACGTCCGTCGAGCTCTTTGAGCGAGAGCTGGGCCACGTTGAGCACCTCCGACATGCACTCAGAGGACGGCACTCGATCTGAGCAGACCGATATAGCCTCCCTGATTGACCAGAACGGCCCTGACGATGTAGCCAGCCTCGATGACCGCGAGAGCAACAGCTATGGCGAGGACAATACGGAGGATGAGGAGGATGAACAAAGTAACGTCTCGGATTCCCAGGAGCTGCCTCAGCCCCTTCTCGCGCGTGATGAGGCCGCCGTAGGCGACAGCAACCTCACCATGAAAGCGGCCTTGCACCATTCCGCAGAGTCTATCGAATTCCTCGAACCGGACAAGTGGCCTGAGGTCGAGCGGGTGGAACTGAAACACACCATCCATATCCTGGACGAGGACGAGGCGTCGGATTTGAAGAGTCGCCTTCCTCTGAGGTTCGATCATAGCCACCTGGCGATTACGGTGCAACAGACGATGACGAAGCAGAGTCTGGACCTGGACAAGCCTTTCCATGTCCTCTATGTAGGGAATCCGGAGTTCCGAAACATCGTCCTGGACAAGATCGGCGACGTCCTGGTCTCCAGTTCGACCGACAGCCTCGGGACCAGCTCTACCGAGTCCTCTCGCTACCATGTCGTTCCGACCTCCTTCGGAGCTGGGGCCACTCCGAATTATGCGGAGCTGCTCCCAATTCACGTCCAGCTGATCGTGGATGAGTGTGTCGAAGCCACCTCGGAGCCGCAAGCATTCAGACCCAGTGCCGTCAGCCTCAAGTTTAAGAACCGGCCATCATGCACATCCACTTGGACTGGGTCCCAATATCACATTACGTCCCCCACGGAGTGGAATCTGCCGGACATAGCTATCTTTTTCGTTTCGGATAAGGATTCGGATCTGGCCGTGCGGACCCGGTCGCTGGCTCATACCTTTATGGAGAGACATGGTATCCCTGTCATGGTCATATCTGAGGAGCCTCTCTGGAAGAAGGCCGCTACGGACTTGATACCCCTGGACTATCAGAGCCTACATATATGCTTGGAATCCCGCCGTCCTCTGACCGGGGAGACTGTGGTCTTGAGAAGATATCCCATCGATCTGAAGACCTTTGAAAGCATCGCCCCCGCACAGCTCAACAGACACCTCGCCTCTCTGTCTGGGGCATATCAAAAGACCCCGTCCAGCGTGACCGCTCAGCGAGAGCCATTAGCACCGCCCGAGACCAAACCATTCTTTGACAGTGAAAAGTATCCAAAATCTGCCATCTTCTCTGCTTACACAGAGCGTGCTCACGAATTGACGCCCATCCTCCGTCTTGTCACGCTTGCGATCGTGTTTGCCGTTGCCATTACTCTCGGCTACACCGCTGTCAAAGCTCTAGCCGCGCTCTTCGTCCAGATTTTTGCACGCTCAACTCTATCGGGTCTCACCTCTACGACCCCTACGGCGGTTGTTCCCTCCACGGAGTTGCTCAGACACACGTCGTTCCCCTTGAAGACTTCGCCTGTGAGCGAGATCCGGCCGCTAAGCCATAAAACCGATGCGCGATCCACTGCAGACGAATTGATGGACCTTTCTCACATTCTTGCGGAACCGCCGGCCAAGGCAGACGTGTTCCAGATCCAGGTCGTTGGGGACTGCCATGTGATCATCAAGCCGCCGTCGACAAAGAAACAGCCGAAATTCAATGTCAGTGTTTCTCGCGGTGAGAAAGCACTTCCTTATGAGCTTTCCAAACTGTTTGATGGCGTCTACACGATGAGGTTGAACCGGGAGGATGCATACGGCCTGTTGAACGTGACCATCACTGTGAACACCAAACCGGCGGTGGAACAGACCCTCGAAGTCGACTTTGGCACGCCTTGGTTGAAGATCGAGAATTGGAAGAAGGCCGCTCAGGCGGTCTCGTCCCAGATTCTGAAGGACTTCAACACTGCTCAGACTGGACTGTCCGAGATATACGGTCGTCTCTCGACGGACCTGCAGATCTGGATGGGGGACGTTGTCCGCAAGTCGCATGCATTGCGACGCGAAGCGGGGTCCTTCAGCCGCGATTCCTTAAAGCGTACGCGTGGGACGAGAGATGTTGTGCTCTCCAGATCGACCGAACTGTCCGAGTTCATCAAGCGCGTCGCACGACAGCAGTTCACGGCCGCTTCCGGCGTATTACGGGAGCATACCAGCGTCTTCCACCAGGGCGCACGTGAGTTTGTGAGCGACGCGTTGAGCTCGATTTCGGCGCAAAGTGTCGAAAGTTTCAAGGACCGGTTCCATCGGCTGAAGAAATCCAAGTACTTAGCTCAGGCGCAGAAGACGGCGCAGCAGTTGACGAGGCCGAAACAGAGTCAGCAAGGTTGCAAGCCGGACCACCACCGGCACAAGGCTCGACGGCACAGATGACGGGGATGATGGGTATGGTTACGGGTATATCTTTCAGGAATGATCTTCGGGTTGCTTGCAAGGGCGGAAATAGGGTTTGTGTTTTGATCTTGGGGTTTCACGGAGGACCAGGCGGGTACTAGGTAGCTACTAATAACTATAGGCGGATTGCGTAGGGATTATTGGGAAACACGGAACTGACCATGTTCTTGACGACGACAGAACGATGTTGTTCTATTATGACCGGAGAGCAGGTTTCATTCCCCTCTTTTGCATTTTGATGGGGGATTTCAAGGGCAACGAACTAGTACTACTGAGGCGAATGTACTTTCTTGTCGAAATTCAAGTAGTAATTTCGTATATTAGTATCGCAGTATTAACTAAGTTGAAGACTCTTCTTCGGTCATGTGTCCTAGATCTGGTATCTCGTGGGGTGTGGCTGCGGAATCACTTGCCAACAAGTAGCCTTTTCCCTGGCGATGAGGGAAACAGAAAATTTCCAGCAGTATTCAGTGACATCTACTGTAGGCCGTAATAGTAAGAACAGGGCGCATGGGTCGAGGCGAGGCCCGGCAGTTAGCGTCGAGAGGCTACTACCAGGCACGCGTGAGTGGAGTTGCCAACAAACCAAACCGAACCAAAACTCCCCCCACCTTTTTTCTTAGGGCGGGCCTGCGGGAAAGCAAAACACTCCTCCTTTTCACAAAAAAATCAACACCGACTCTGACAAACCTTCCTTCGTGATTCTTGTCTTCTTCTTGTCTCTTTCGGACAGACAGAACATTTTATCTGGTTGATTTTATTTCCCTCCTTCGCATCTCCGTAACCACCAAACACAGTTCACCACCATGTCTGACGTGCCTGAGACCAAGACCGACCCCACCTCTACCACTGCTGCGGAGAGCACAGAGGCAACCACCACCTCTGGTGCTGAGAAGCCTGCGGAGACGGCGGCTGAAGAGACCAAGGCCGCGACGGCGACGGAGAAGGCCACTGACGCCGCTGCCGATGCGGCCAAGGCTACCTCCGACAGTGTCTTCTCTATGTTCGGTGGCGGCCCCAAGAAGGAGAAGAAGGAAGAGGAGCCTGAGGAGGAGGAGCCGTCTGGATCTTCCAAGGCCCAGAAGGGCGAGGAAGAGGTGAGTTTGTTGCATTCTGTTGCATGATGGGGCGATGGTCTAACTCGGTTCTTCAGGATGAGGCCCCTGAGTCTCCCGACGTCCACTTCGAGCCTGTCATCCACCTGACCGAGAAGGTCGAGACCAAGACCAACGAGGAACTCGAGGAGCAAGTTTTCAAGATGCGCGCGAAGCTGTTCCGATTTGACCGCGAGACCCGCGAGTGGAAGGAGCGTGGTACTGGTGACGTGAGACTGCTGAAGCACAAGGAGAACCACAAGACCCGTCTGGTGATGCGCCGGGACAAGACCCTCAAGGTCTGCGCCAACCACTACAGTATGTCACTTGCTCCCCTTTACAAGGGAAATGCGAAAGCTGACTCCTCCCAGTTGTGCCTGATATGAAGCTCCAGCCAAACGTTGGCAGTGACCGCAGCTGGGTGTGGAACGCGGCCGCGGATGTTAGCGAGGGTGAGCCTGAGGCCCAGACTCTGGCTATTCGTTTCGCCAACAGCGAGAGTAAGTCTACATCAGAATTTTTTTTCTTGGGCTGTGCTAATTATTTCTTCCTGTAGATGCCAACGCATTCAAGGATGCATTCCTCAAGGCTCAGCAAGAAAACGAGAAGCTTTTCGCCCAGGCCTCCCAGGCCTCCTCATAAACGACTTGCAACGACAAATATATGAGAATGGCGCAGGCTCTCAACACCAAAGTGTTTCGCGCTGCCGGCGCCATCTGGCCCTTCGCGCAGACCTAATCCCCTTCCCCTTGTTCTAGCCCGCTCCGTTTCCCTCCTCTTTTCCATACACACACACCCCCTTCGTTAATACAACACCCTGCTACGGCACGCGAGACGGCAGATATGTTGGACGTTGTTCTCGACACGACGTGGATCCTGTGATGTGATGAGACCTGATGGCAAGGCGGCGCCTGGTAATGATTTCTCGTGGAGTCGACAGGTGTGCTTTGCGCTGGATGATGGATGGACATTTGGCGGTTGTGGTAGATTTATTTTCCTAGAGCGTCACGATCTCCCAAGATATTATTCGAATACATGCACGAAATGCACATATCATGAGTCTGAATTTGAGGACTTGTCGATACGTAGCTAGATTCTTCGTACATAAATCATGTAGTTGCTTTTTACTGCTTGATAATTGCTGTGCATATTCGATATATGCTGCTGAGCTGCTATCCGCCAGATCAACGAGGACTTGTCCTGCAAAAACCAGATTTATGCAGGCACACACTATCGAAATGCAGGTCATAGGGCTGAGGATGGATCCTTTCTAGGTACAGGCCGTACAGAATTGTCGCTGGGGTCCCGCCGATCAGGCGCGCAGAGCTTGGTTTGGAACGTGAAGTTGTGCCGACCCCACCACTGCTCCCAGCCCCAGCCAGTAAGTACTCCGTCGGACTTGGGACCTACTGGCGTCCCAGTAGCACCTCAACTCCGCGCATTGATTTCATGAAATCGCAGCCCTCCACTTCACTTCTACCTTACTTCACCTAACCTCTGTTTTAATTACCACTCACTCACTCACATATTTTGCCCTCTGAGTCAGAACAGACGCGACCCTGTTGGCAAAGCCCCTGCAGAAGCTTTTGCGTTCTGCTCCTCTTTGAGTTGAGGACGCGGTTACTGTGAGGGCAGGGGAGACGCACCAACAGAAAAGCAAGAAAGTTTTACTACTACTGCTGCTGTGCGGGGAAGAAGTCGTCTCCACCTATCCCTATCTGCCAAAATGCCTGACGTGAGTGGTCTCTGTTAAGTGTCGTGAGGAGCGGCTTCGTGTCGCTCGCGCGACTGGTGCTTGTTATATTATGAGATGCTGACCCATGTCTGCTCGTGAATACAGGTTAAGAGAACAATCAAGTTGATTACGGAGCAGCACATCCTGTATGTCTTTGTCAACTTGTCGACGATGGCCTGCCCTTTCCCTGTCCTTCTCCCCTCTCTTGCACTCCTCTACTGCGCTGGTCCGCGAGTTGTGCGCATATGTTCCTGGCAGATTCTTTCAAGTCAATTGAGCCCATGCTAATCAAATGAATTCTGCAGCGAGGGCAAGGACTCTGGTGTAGAAGGCTTTCCGCTTCGACGATGGTCGATCGAGATCTACCTGCTGAACGAGCATGGAGAGCAAGTGCCGGCCAACCTGTTTGACAAGGTCACGTACAAGCTACATCCGAGTTTTGGCGACCGCGCCATTCAGTGTATGTCCTTCTTCTTTCATTATTCAAGTCCCGCGCATGGACTGACGTTGGGATTTTGCTGTCACAGCTTTCAAGAACCCTCCCTTCCGGATCGAAGAGGAGGGATGGGGTGAGTTCGACATGACGATCAGCCTCCTCGCTCCGGACAAGGAACACAACATCACGCACGACCTGAACTTTCAGCAGACTCGGTACGAGTCGAGACATGTCATTGTAAGTGATGTCCTGGCTGAGAAAACAGCGGGGGAAAGAGCTTTACAGCTTTACTCATACTGGTAATTAGAACTTCAAAAACCCCAAACCCGCCTTGTTAGCCGCCCTTCGAGAATCGGGTCCGGTGCCAGGAGATGAGAACGGCGTCAAGACGAAACGCACTGCAACAGGGGAAGAGAGCGTCAAGAAGAAAAAGCGAGTAGAGAAGAATGTAAGTTGGCTATTTTGCAAGCGTCAGTGCTAGGTCAATGCTAACCCTGGCAGGTGGACATGGACAAGCTGGCAGACGGCCTTCAGAAGCTGGGTGAGGATGATCTGCTGCAGGTGGTGCAGATGGTGCACGACAACAAAGCACCAGACTCGTATACCAAGAATGATGTCGAACGTAAGTGCACACCTTACCTAGTAAAGCAGACAGTCAAACTAGGGCAATCAAGCTAACTGGTCTATGCATATATATAGAGGGAGAATTCCATGTCGACCTGTACACTCTCCCGGACAATCTCATCAAGATGCTCTGGGACTTTGTGCAGGAGAAGGGTGTCGTATGAACAGACATTTTGGGGGGAAGTTAAGACCAAAAAAATTATTAATAAAAAAGAGGAAAACACACAAAACACACTCCATTTGGATCACCCAATTTATGCCCCTCTTCTTTTTTCTAGTTTCCTTTTTTTTTGGTGCCTCTCATCTTACTTACTTTTGCCTTGTCTTGCCTCGTCTTGTTAATGTATGAAAAGGAGGAAAGGAAAGGAAAGAAGCAAGCATGCAAGCACTAAATGAAAGAAATGAAAGAAATGGACGAAATGAAATGAAAAAAAAATTAAAAAGAAGAGAAGACATGAATACCACCATTTATACATCCATTTATGCGTCTATACCTGGCTGGCTACCTAAGCTACCTACCTACCTAGTTAATTAGGTCAATAGATAAAGATTAAAAAAAGATTGATAATCAGGTATGTACAATCACAGTCATAGATGACTAGTCAGTCACGTGCTGTATTATTATCATCATTCATGGTTGTAGTTGTGGCTATGATGATAGTGATAAGACTACAGTACTACAGTAAGTAAGTGATATCTGAAAGAAGTACAAGCACAAGTTTGATATATATATACATCTACATCTATATCGACATATATGAAGGGGAGATAATAGTGAGGAGGAGAATGTCTATCTACCGAATTTTTTTTTATAAAAAAAGGCAAAAAAAAAAGGAAGAGAAAAAGGAAAAACGAACAAAAATTTTTCGCTCTCTCTGTCTCCCTGCCTGATTTTCTTCTTTAATTAAAGAGATCTATCAGATATCTGTTTTGTCCAGCTATTTTTTTTGTTTTCGTTTTTGAATACTCACTCTAGTAATTAGTACAGTCGTTACGAGCTCGTTAGTTAATAGGTTGAACAAAAAGAACAGAAGGAAAGAATCGTATGTAATTTGTAAAGAATTATGGTATGTCTGTCTGTATGTATGTATGTATTCTACATTTATGTACTGTACTGAATATGCAGAGAGCAAGATTATCATCTTCTTGTCTGGTCTTGTCTTGGTTCATGTGATAAAAAAAATTATTGTATTGTAGCATTGTATTGTACAGATGAGCCTCCCGAAAACAAAAGAAATAATTAAAATGATATGATCGAGTCTGGACTCCAGAGCCATAGCCATTGCCTTAGCCTTAGCCAACCAGCTCGTGCTTCTTTCTTGTCACCTGCAAGCCAGTTGCAGGAAAGGAAAGATGAAGATGGTTTGTTTGTCTTGGCCTTGCCTGGCTTGGCTGGGTCAGTCATCGAAGTGAGGTAATTATTAAAGGGATAAAATGTAAAAAATAAATGAAGGAAAAAAAAAGACATGACAGGTAAGTCAACAAGACACAAACGACACATAAAACAACTCGAAACAAGTACAGTGTGGGGATATCTCAAACAACGAAGACAGCATAACAAAGCAAATCAAACAGAGCATAGCAGACATGTAATCAATCAATCAGTCAGTCAGTCAGTAATCAATGAAATGAGACGGAGATAGTAGTCCCTCGGCATAAACAACCAGTCCAAACCAATCGATCAGATTCTATCCAATCGGTGCTTTTTGTTTCAGGCTCCTTTTTCCCCTTTCGTTTCCAATACAAACGCACGCAAGTCGTAGAGTAAGTAAGACCCTTGTCTAACCAAACCGAACCCAACCAAACCAAACAAATCAAAGGAAAATCGGTATCCAATTGCGCCAGCGCCAGCGCTCTGCAGACTGATATCATCCGTGGTCTATTTAATGATGATGTTGCGTTGTTGATCAAAACCGGTGTATGCAACACAATTAGAGAATGGTAGGAAAAGAGAAATGCGTTCAGAAGATGCCAGACGACACCAGACGCCATCAGAAGACGCCGTGACTAGAACAAAGTCAGATATCAAGTCACTTGCAGACAGAACTACACATACCGCTGCAACAGATCCTCAATGCTGGTCGCGTCGATCTCGCTCCCCCGAGGCAGCTGTCTGGGGATGTCCACAATCGTGGCAAAGACCTCGCCGCCCTTGTACGCCAGCAGAGCCGGCGCATCGATGTGGTCCATCTCGGCGATCTCATGGTGCAGCTTGACGAACCGCGTCGTATTCTGCTTCTGCGCAATCTCAATCAGGGAGTCCTCGACCTGGGCGCTGAGGGCTGACTGCATAGACAGTTAGCGTCAATAGCTCTTGCAACCGACAATGTCAGCACGAACCTCGGGATCATAGATGCAAACGACCACCACCGTATCTGATGGGGCCCGCTCAATCGCGTTCAGGTACCCTGTCCCATCAACCCTATCGACCCTTCCATACACCCTCTTGCTCGGGTTGGGGCGGTTCTGGCGCTGCTGCAGCTCCTGGAGCCGCGTCTCGCGCCACCGACGCATGAATTCCTCCTCATCAACGTCATTGTCAGCGCTGTCCTTGTGCGGCCGCGAGTCGGCCTTGGACGTCTTTGAGTACGAGTCCAGACCCGCGACGCTGAGCAGGGTGCGACGGAACGAGCGCTTCCGGGCCCGTTCGAAGGACTGCGCGTCGGCAATGACACCCTTGGGGCCGGTGTTGGCCTCGAAGACGGTGGAAGGGACGGTGTAGGCGGTTCGGGAGACCATCTTGTTAGATTTGGTATGATAGGTGTTGTCCTCGTCGTCCGAGTCGTCGTCAGAGTGGGCGTAGTGGTCGTTCTGGCCGTCGTCGGCGTCAGAGTGGGAAGACGACTCGTCGGAGTTGTCGCGGTCTTCTGGATGACCGCGAAGTTTCTCTTTGTAGTTGAAGAGGCGATCGAATTCCTCCTGAGCAGCGGTGGACATGGTGGAAGAAGAGAAAAGTGTCAAATGGGGGGACGGGCGCGACCTATTTTATAGGGAGTGAAGAGGGCAATCAGTCACACGGATGAAGCACCCAGTCAGAGGCGGTCAATGACGACAAGAACAGAACCCCAGTTCGGACCCCGGGTCTGTGCGACGGAGACTGGCACGGTGTTTCAGGCCTTTCAGCTGATGTGGTTGATTGTGGGCAACGAAAAAAAAAAGTGGTGCCGTGGGAGTTAGCGAGGATGAAGGAAATGGGAGGTGGGCGGCGGATCTCGTCGCTGAGCCAAGTCGCTAGCAACGCTAACAGCGCGCGTGAGCCAGTGATGTCCGGCGACAACGAGGCTTAGCGCTGAGGTGATCGGCAGGATCCTTGAGCTGCGAGTTAAGAAAGTGGCCAGCTTGCTTGTGCGCTTGATTCGCCGACGTTGCATCCACGGTCTCCCAGATTGATCCCCCAGCAAGACACCTGTATCTTTTTTCTGATCGCAGGCGGATTCCTACAGAGTACTGAGGACAACATGCGGGATCAAACCCTACTGGGATCGGGCTAAATTGCACTGCGCCTCCACCACGGAAGATTATGCAGGAGAGGCCCGGACGGCAAGTGGGCGAGCACGAATGCCGTCCTCTTTGTCAAGCCACGAGGGCAGCCCCTGAGAGCGCGGAGACAGCCAATGGCCGGCAGCACAGTCGGCTGGCCGTTTCACAATGAGCGATCGCCCCGCCAGCGCAGAGCAGCCCCTGCCGCAACCAGCCAGGATCGCCCCATGGAGGTGAAACGGTCTAGAAGCCCTACAGAACATTCTTCCACAGTCACCTGCAGCTGCAGCATGCAGATTGGCTCCGCTCCGATCCAGAGCATCGAAGTACTCCGTACGCCGTATCAACAAACAAATCACCAGCAGCCATGCGATCAGGAAGTGCATATACGAGTGTCGCCCTGTGCTAGTGCATACACTATACTCTCTCCGTCACCATTTTTCTACAGATCAGATCCATCCCAAAGAGCATCACCCCTCTGCATGAGAAGACCACGCAGCAGCATCTGCTATCTGCAATGGGGCTTCCGCTTGGGGCATCGATATTAATAGAGCGGCAGCCTGCGTGAGTTTCAGGCGTGTTTCAACTGTCGCGGTGGGCCTTCCTCCGTACTCCGAAACCACAATCGATCCCGGAGGAAATGATCGGCCGAGCCCCAACCAGAATACCAGATGGGAATAGGCACTGGGAATCGGCGCTAGCCGTTTAAGGTTCTATTATCCAACATTTCTCTCCCAGAATAATTAAGGTTTTCTCCCTGCCCATCCCAATCTCGCCGGAGAGCTGATCCGAATCTCGGTCCCCAGCAGGAACACTATGAACCTTGCTGTCAAACTTTTTTTTTCTGGGAGCGCCATCGGTGCAGAGGCTAAGCCCAACATTCCCAATTCCAAATCGTCTACGGTGTAAGCCTCACTAAGCTTAGTGCCTGGCTTGCACCCTACGCCGGCCTGGACTAGGCAGGCAACTACTCCGTCCGGAGTCTCCGTAAGTACGACTCCGTGGTCAGTGGACACTTAACCTATTTCAGACTAATATCAGACTGCTCGGCTGACTGGCTACTCATTATAGGAAGGCCACCACGTCAGCATGTCATGTGGACGGTGCTGGATATGGCGTACAGATCGTGGCCAACAGTCTGGCATGCAAGTGATGGATTAATTTGTTGATGAATTGTCCTCCCGGTGGGTTCTGCTCCATGGCACGAGGATCCGGTGGATACCGTCAGAACCATGGACAGAGCATGTCAGAAGTGTTGTCTCGCGTCTTTGGTGCCATTATTCTCATTTCCTGCCAAGGACAATTAGTCATGGATCTCCCTCTAGGTGAGAGTACCTCTGTACAATGAACTTCCTGTATCAATTGCATGCACGCATACTGTCGACTCAGCAGTAGAGAAAGCAAGCTTCACCCACAATTCTATATTCCCTTGCTCGTTCGCATGCTGATGCTATCAGAGACCCCGCGCTCATGCTGTCTTGTCTTATCTTCGATGGAGTCTTGGTCTCGATTCGATTCCAAGCACAGTACTCCGTACGCCGGTACAGTACGCCGGTACAGTACGGAGTCAGTGGGTCGTAGTAGATTAAGGAGCTCAAAATGACATCACGCGATATGACGATAACAACCCCTCCCTATATTGATACAATTATAAGTGGCCCATTTGCCGAACCCGGCTGTGCTGAACGCACTTACCGAGGTATGCGCTGTATAGGATGCTAGCATGACTTCGCAATCTTGGCGGACGGAGTCAACAATGGTCATGACTCATGATAACCAAACAATCAATCAGTCAAGCATCAGCTACTTAGTGTTATCTGCACGTGGCGGTGAAGGGTGCCGGTGAGCAGGGTCGGAGTAGGTTTAAGTTGACCTGTTGTTGGACGATTCTTGATCCTAGTTGGTCAGTCTATACGAGGCAATCCGGCATGATCGGATCGATCTGCTGCAAACTCAAGAATCAAGCCACGTCCCCTCGAGCGGCTGAACATTTCGGCAGTCAGACATACATGCCTAGTCCCTCCGCATGGCCTTCCAGAAGAGTCACTCTCACCAATCAATCAAGACCACGCAGTTGAAACATGAAGACATCTGGGATATCCCTGTCTAGTCTGCCTGTCATGCGTAAAATTTTGGAGTATTGGGTCATCTGACTGATGGCAGATGCGGGGCGATGCGCCATATAATACCTGTCAATATGCCTTTAGGCCTCCATTGGCTTCGTTGGCGCTGAGTACTATGTATAGATGAAACTGAAAAGGCAAGTCTGAAACACGACATCCCTAGGCGTGTCTGATAAGCATAACCAAAGTAGACGCTTGCTAATATCAACGTCATTGTCTGGAATCGAGCTCGGACAGCTTGGGGCCCTACAGCCGGTGAAGACGAAATGCTGTTACCTACACGTACGGAGTAGTGCTCCCCGCTTGTGTATCTTCTTCACCCATGACTGTATGTTGCCGAATGACCGCCGCAAGTCGATATTCGGCTCCTGTAGCAGAGGCTGCGGGGCTACATTCGCGTTCAGATATGCTATTGATGCACAATTGGACGCAGCCATCACATCGAGTCCAGACGTCAGCAGTCGCAGGGAGTATTATTTTTCAAATCCCCTATGTACATCCAATGTCTGCCAGTCATGGATGGAAACGGGGAACTGTCTGACCTGCATATTGCTCTGAGTTGCAAAGGTTGGGGGCAATGGTATGCCTATGTTGAGGGCACGAAACAGAAAACCAAAAGGAAGCAACTTTTGGCCTGGCTTACTCAAAAGCCCATATCCAACAATGATGGTGATGGATTCGACCTAGGAGTTGGACTTCTGGCTTACGCTGTCAGAATGGGCCTAGTCAATTGTCGCCTGTATAAGACTGCTACGACCGAAGTTGGCATATAAGCTCAAACAGGATGTGTTGCGGATGTTAGGTGATTACCTTTTCCATACTAGTGTTGTCCTCACATGACCAGCCAAAGTAATGCTATATATAGAGTAGTACAGCCCATAAAGGCCATATAGCCAATTAAGTATTCTTCTCCTTTTTATTAGGTTATATACCCTATATCCCCTAAGGGCTAATAACATCTCCAAGTCATTAAATATAGGGCTAAAAAGCCTAGATTATTGTCACATGGCAGTACTTCACCGCCTCCACATACCTCCTGTATCTAACTAGCGGGTAGTCTAGAGAGTAATCTCAACATCATCTTCTTCCGCATAGACGTCTTCTCTCTCACAAATTGGTAGCAACGCGTGGAAGAGAGACTCCAGGATGCAATTACGCTGTCAAAGGCTGAACTTTGTACTGCAATTGACCTTTGAAATGTGCAACGACAGACCTTATACACTTGTGAAGAAGGTCGTCCCATGCTAATTGTGGACCAGCACTTTCAAGATATACAGAACAACATTATGAATACTGGCCAAAGTTTTTATTTTATGAATCTCCCCTTTTGCTGGTTTCTTGATGCAATGGTGTTACTACTATTCAATATGACATGACCACCCCCTATGCCCTAATACTATTGAACAGGTAGAAACTGTTACGAACCAACAGAACGAAGCGCTGTCCAACACAGCAACACAGGATGAAACACTACCCCGCAAGATTGACAGAATTAGGCATACAAGGTCACGTGACTTAGGAAGGTCCATTGATAAGATAAGCAGAGGAGTCCAACAAGGACCGTGGAAGGGAGGTCCAGTATGGACCACGAGAAGAAGGTCCAACAGGGACCGACGGAAGGAAGGAGATGGAGGACCAAACAGAAGTTATAAAAGAAAGCTCAATCTCATGTATCTAGTCTCTCCTTACTCGCGCTCAATTCAATCCATTCAACCTGAGTTACTAAGATACTTACTTTGGGGTCAGTAAGACTTCTTACTACTAGTGGTATACTTCGGTATAGCTCTAGTAGGCGTTGCCTCTGACCTAGTCGTTATCGTTCTTGTTCACCTGAAGCACCCCTATCGTGTATCTTTGCGAGACCCCATTATATCGCGAGAAGTCGTTCGAGGAAGAGCCCTTCGCCAGGTAGGCCGTTGTCTCAAGGACAAGAGACCCGGATCAGTTAGATCGTCGCGTGCTCGTGAACGACATAGAGTCAGGAAGACTCCTTGATCCTTCCCTAACCACCATCGTTAAGTATCGACGACTACGGTTGGACCCAGCGCGTAACAGAAACTTAGCCATCTGCTGATGGTACCTATTGGTATTGCTCCTGATAATGCTCCACCGAAATCGTATAAGCATGTAATGAAGCAATAGGCAGGTACAGAGGTATTTTTGCAGGTCTGTGAAGACCTTTCAGATCCCCTGAACCCTCAGGTAATATATTTGATTGTCGACAGCACCGGTGCCAGGCTCAAATCCACCATGATCTGGCAATATACTGGGGATACCAAGTACAAGCGCCTTGCACAGGAAGCATTCGAGCGTTTTCTGAGGCCACTATCACATACAGCAACAAGTTTGAAACGCGCATGAGACGATAGGGCCGCCAACAGCGCAAATGGGAGTTATGTAGACCTATAAGAGGCTATATATAATTATAAATAGAAATAACCCAAAATTGACCAAATTTAAGTTAAAATAGTACCTAGGGGATCTAGTAAAGGAAAATAGCATATAAGGGACCCTATAGGCCTCCTCCCCTATACTTATAGGACCTTAAGATAAGGTAATCTCTTGTTAAACTGGCCGCGTGGACTGGAAATTCCCTGGGAAATTCTTGGCATTTTTGGGAAGGAAAGGAAATCCTTTTAGATTTCCATTTTCCTAGGGAATTTCCACTTTCCCATAGGAAATGCCAAGAAATTTCCACTTTTCTCTGGGAAATCCCTGGGAATTTCCAATTTCCATATGGATTTCCAGAGACCTCCCCCGGGATCCCTGGGATTTCCCAACGGCCAGCCTACAGGTGAAGATAGGCTGAGTATAAATAAGCTTAGGTGAGCAAATCACCTTTCACTGGGTGATCTGATCACCTGACTCACCCAGCTCACCCGCTTAAAGCGGCGATGTCCAAGTGAGGAAGGGAAGAGCTGCTCGCAGATTTTTATACGATATTTTGACCTACCTAGGTAGTAGGTAATCTGGAAAGCAAGTAGGGGAGCCGCGCGACTGAACCAACCAGATGACATCGAGCAAGCCAGCTAAGAACAAGAAAAACCAGCAAGCCACATCATCATCATCCCTTACGTCACGTGTCCTGTCATCTATGCTTAATACGAACTTGAAGACACATACCCGACAACGCTCCCCTCTTATCTCGTGCGGGGAAGATATGATGCCTTTTCCCGTGTCCAGAAGCTTCGTCCAGAAACTTCGCCTCAACTGTGTATCTAGAGAATAGTAACAAGGATATAGAACAAAAGGAATTGTGAATTCTGCAGTCCATCGAGTGGCCTGCACGCTAAATCCCGGTTGGTGGTCTCATGTCAAGAATATCATAGAAAAGAAATAAAAAACCGAGAGACAAGCTGAAAGAAAAAAGAATAGAGGGAATCCGTTGCCAGTCCCGGTCATTGACTAATTTCATTGGGAATCCAAAGGTACAGGCAAAGAATGCAAAAGTAACAGGTAGAAGAAACAATCCCATATGTGCAACCCCAAAACTGACGTGATCAAGGGCTGGCGCGAGGATTCAAAAGGGGGAGAAAAAGTTAAAAGGAAAAAAAAAGTTAAAAGGGGGAAAAAGCTCCAAGAGAACGCACACTACCGGGAATAGCTCGATTAAAACACAAACAGAGGGCATACAGACAATAGCATCATGGCCTGACCGGAAACAAATCCTCCCTTTCCACCACCCAAGGGCACAAAAGAGGTAGAAAAAGATCACAAAAAGGTACATGCGGCAAACGGTGTATAGGAGGTACAAACAAAAAGGAAATTTCGCTGCAAAAAGACGGAAGGAGATGGCCAAAAAAAAAGGAACAAGAAGGGTAAGAAAAAACAGATCCAAGGAAACAACAAGCACATAGCATGGCAACAGCTTCAGGAAAATGGCTCCAGTGGCTTCCCCTCTACAGCACTTGCTGGGCACACTGATCCAAATGTCCTGCTTTCCAGACTGTACCGTATCACGATATCCAGAAAGACACTGTATCCTCTCGTCTCTCTCGTGCTCGTGTCGTTTTCGAAGCAGGGCCGACCGGGACAAAAAAAAAAAAGGAATTGTGTTCAACCACCAAGACTGTGCAACCAAACATTTTTATCTGTTTTCGCAGCGGAACTCATACCCTCGCGGTGCTGAAGACGTGGGGGATATTAAACGGCGGGAAGGGCGACCAAGCATCCGAAGTCAATATAGGAAATATCGTACAAAAGGACAGACATATTGCTTTTGTGTTCAACCTTACATCCCTCGATACAAGAGGGAAGGATAGACATAGATATGTATATTGCGGCTTTACCAGGCCCAAACCTTGAGCTGCACGGAAGAAAAAAAAAGAAAGTCTTAGTAGCTGCACATCTTGAGGCGGGATGGTGGAAGTCATCACTTACCAAAGAGTCCCAAGAACCGGTACACAGACTGATACCGTCATTGCTGACGCCCAGACAGCTGACACGGTTCTCATGCCCACTCAGGGAGCCAACCTTGTCTCCACGGAGGACATCCCAGACCTAAGAGAAATTGGATCAGTGCGCCGCCTTAACGAGTGGGATATGACGCGAAGGTGGCTTACCTTGCATTCAAAGTCATCGTAGCCCGCGAATAACAGTCGTCCCGAGACAGAGAATGCGACGGAGGTAATACCGCACAACACTTGGTCGCTCTGCGAATTCAACTGGTGTCAGTTACTGTCAGCACACTTGGAGACTGGGTGGATATCAAAGAACGAAGGGAAACAAGCAAATAGCCGCGAGAGACCGAAGAGCAAATTTAATGATAAACGTACTTGGTAGGTGTTGAGCTCGCGGTCGGCGCGAATGTCGAACAGACGGCACGACGTGTCATCCGAGCCCGTACCGAAGGCGTTGCCATCGGGGAAGAACTGGATGGCGTTGATATCGGACTCGTGGCCGGCAAAGGTCTGAACGGCCTTTCCGGTCCGGATATCCCACAGCTTGGCGAAGGCGTCGCAGGCACCCGAGACAAAGACGTTCTGGTTAGTCGGGTTGATGCTGATGGACATGACATCGCCCAGGTGGTCGGCGAACTCGGTCACTTTGGAGCCCGACTCGATATCCCACAGCATGCAGGTCATGTCACCGGAGGAAGTGATGATGCGACGGTCGTTGATGAAGCGGCAGCACGACAGGTAACCCGAGTGACCGGACAGTTCGCGGGCAACACGGGTGGGACCCTCACGGGCAGAGAGGTTGTAGATGGAGCAAATGTTGTCGAGACCACCGCAGGCGACGTAGTTGCCGCTGGGGGCGTAGGCGCAGGTCATGACCCAGGATGATCGCAGCGGAATCGCGTGGACTTTGTTGGTCGTGTAGGCATCCCAGATGATGAGCTTTCCATCTTGCGAGGCGGAAACCAGATGTCGTCGGTCGGTCGACCAGTGCATGGCGTAGATCTTGGCCAGGTGGCCCTTCAACGTCCGTCGCGGCCTCATCCCGATCCGGGGAAGAGGATCCGTGTTGTTCATGGCCACCTGCTGCACTGCAGGCAGGGAGAAAAGAACAGGGTCAGCATACGGACAGCTGGTCCGACGGTCATGTCGAAGAGCGCTTACAGGTCGTATCTGCCAGTTCATCCTTCCGGCGCTTGATCTTATCCTTCAATCCCTCAGCCTCGCGCCGGGCCGCGGCGATCTTGGCCTGCATCTGCTCGCTGCTGATATCGGCCGCCATCTTGCAGGACGGATTCCACTACCGAGGAAGACGGTCAATTGGAAGGAAAGTGGATGGCGGAAGGCGAGAAAGTCGCAGGAGACAAAGACGGAGGCGGAAGAGACGACGAGAAGGACGAGGGTGGAGTTGGGACGTGCGGAAGCGACCGAGCGAGGACAGGCACCGAGAGATCAGGATTAGTTGGGGGGGGGGG